GGAATAAGGGATAAAGGGAAAAATAATTTGGGAAAATGGGTGAAAGGGAAGAGTTGGGAAAAAGGGAAAAATAGGAAAATGGGATATAGGGAAAAGTGTAGGGAAAAAGGGAAAAATAATTTCGGAAAATGGGTGAAAGGGAAAAGTGTAGGGATAAAGGGAAAAGAGTTGGGAAAAAGGGAAAATTAATTTGAGAAAATGGGATTAAGGGAAAAGAGTTAGGGAAAACGAATTTGGGAAAATGGGATAAATTGAAAATTGTATGGAAAAAGGGAAAAACAATTTGGGAAAATGGGATAAAGGGAAAATTGTAGGGGAAAAGGGGAAAATAATTTGGGAAAATGGGATAAAGGGGAAAAAGTTGAGAAAAAGGGAAAAGTAATTTGGGAAAATGGGATAAAGGAAAAATTGTAGGGAAAAAGGAAAAAGAGTTGGGAAAAAGGGAAAAATAATTTTCGAATACGGGATAAAGGGAAATGTGTAGGGAAAAAGGGAAAACAGTTGGGAAAAAGGGATAAAAGGAAAATTGTTTGAAAAAAGGGGAAAATAAAGGGAAAATTGTAGGAAAAAAGGGAAAAGAGTTGGGAAAAAGGGAAAAATAATTTCGGAATACGGGATAAAGGGAAAAATAATTTGAGAAATTGGGATAAAGGGAAAATTGTAGGGCAAAAGGGAAAAAAGTAGGGAAAAAGAGAAAAGAGTTGGGTAAAAGGGAATAATAATTTGGGAAAATGGGATAAAGGGAAAAGAGATGGGAAAAAGGGATAAAGGGAAAAGAGATGGGAAAAAGGGATAAAGGGAAAATTGTAGGAAAAAAGGGAAAAATAATTTGGAAAAATGGGATAAAGGGAAAATTGTTGGGAAAAAGGGAAAAATAATTTGAGAAAATGGGATAAAGGGAAAAGGGAAAAAGGGAAAAATAATTTTGGAATACGGGATAAAGGGAAAAGTGTAGGGAAAAAGGGAAAACAGTTGGGAAAAAGGGATAGAGGGAAAATTGTTGGGAAAAAGGGAAAAATAATTTAAGAAAATGGGATAAAGGAAAAATTGTAGGGAAAAGGGGAAAAAGTAGGAAAAAAGGGAAAAATAATTTGGGAAAATGGGATAAAGGGAAAATTGTAGGAAAAAAAGGGAAAAATAATTTGGGAAAATGGGATAAAGGAAAAATTGTAGGAAAAAAAGGGAAAAATATTTTGGAATACGGGATAAAGGGAAAAATATTTGGGAAAATGGGATAAAGGGAAAATTGTAGGGGAAAAGGGGAAAAAGTTGGGAAAAAGGGAAAATTAATAAAAAGGGAAAAATAATTTTGGAATAAGGGATAAAGGGAAATATAATTTGGGAAAATGGGTGAAAGGGAAGAGTTGGGAAAAAGGGAAAAATAGGAAAATGGGATATAGGGAAAAGTGTAGGGAAAAAGGGAAAAATAATTTGGGAAAATGGGTGAAAGGGAAAAGTGTAGAGATAAAGGGAAAAGAGTTGGGAAAAAGGGAAAATTAATTTGAGAAAATGGGATTAAGGGAAAAGAGTTAGGGAAAACGAATTTGGGAAAATGGGATAAATTGAAAATTGTATGGAAAAAGGGAAAAACAATTTGGGAAAATGCGATAAAGGGAAAATTGTAGGGAAATAGGGAAAAGTGTAGGGAAAAAGGGAAAAATAATTTGGGAAAATGGGTGAAAGGGAAAAGTGTAGAGATAAAGGGAAAAGAGTTGGGAAAAAGGGAAAATTAATTTGAGAAAATGGGATTAAGGGAAAAGAGTTAGGGAAAACGAATTTGGGAAAATGGGATAAATTGAAAATTGTATGGAAAAAGGGAAAAACAATTTGGGAAAATGGGATAAAGGGAAAATTGTAGGGAAAAAGGGAAAAGAGTTGGGAAAAAGGTAAAAATAATTTTGGAACACGGGAAAAAGGGAAAAATAATTTGGGAAAATGGGATAAAGGGAAAATTGTAGGGAAAAAGGGGAAAAAGTAGGAAAAAGGGAAAAATAATTTGGGAAAATGGGATAAAGGGAAAATTGTAGGAAAAAAAGGGAAAAATAATTTTGGAATACGGGATAAAGGGAAAAAAATTTTGGGAAAATGGGTGAAAGGGAAAAGAGTTGGGAAAAAGGGAAAAGAGTTGGGAAAAAGGGAAAATTAATTTGAGAAAATGGGATAAAGGGAAAATTTGTAGGAAAAAAGAGAAAAATAATTTGGGAAAATGGGATAAAGGGAAAAAAGTTGAGAAAAAGGGAAAAGTAATTTGGGAAAATGGGATAAAGGAAAAATTGTAGGGAAAAAGTAGGGAAAAAGGAAAAAGAGTTGGGAAAAAGGGAAAAATAATTTTGAAAAATGGGATAAAGGGAAAAATAATTTAAGAAAACGGGATAAAGAGAAAAATGTTGGGAAAAAGGGAAAAATAATTTGGGAAAGTGGGATAGAGGGAAAATTGTAGGGAAAAAGGGGAAAAAGTAGGGAAAAAGAGAAAAGAGTTGGGAAAAAGGGAAAAATAATTTGAGAAGATGGGATAAAGGGAAAATTGTAGGAAAAAAGGGAAAAATAATTTTGAAAAATGGGATAAAGGGAAAAATAATTTGGTAAAACGGGATAAAGGAAAAATTGTTGGGAAAAAGGGAAAAAACATTTGCTTAATTATTCATATACTCTTCTATGGAATATAATACTTTGCACACCAAGTAAGTTTTTAGTTTTAGTTTAAATTTGGAACTGTTTATTTGACACTAATTCTTTTGGCAATTTTCTGAAATAACATGCTCCTTTGTAAGATTGCTTCTTTGTGTTTAGTCAGCATTTATTCAGCAAACCATCATGAATTGTTCAAACGCTTTGAACGTTGTTTATGTATCAATAGTTCGTGGCCTATTTTGGTAATTTTTATTATAAATTACCAATCTAAATCGTCTGTATAGATTTACTGTACTTCATTTCATATAGCAACCCGATTCATATAGCATTTCGACAGAATTTCGGGTCATCTTCGGTCCAAGCAAATATAAATTGTTATGATAACATTTTATGACATTAACAAAGATTTCAAATACTAATTAGTGAATTTCCCTATAGGGAAGTAGCTATTACCGTAGGTGGCACGGTAAGACCTAGACCCGGGACCGATTTACTTTTTCATTTTGATGTCCCCAGAGGCCAAAAACACCATTTGTTCAAATTTTTTTATATTTTTATAAATTTTTTATATACTATGAACATTTTTTATATAATGTCCATGAACGCGAACTTGAGTAATTTTCGTCCGATTTTGATGAAATTAGGTTTAAAGGTGTAAAGGGGGTTAAACTTGAATGAGTTCGCGAACCAGCATGATCGGACAATGGGAACGGGGCTTTACGGGGGGTTTTATGGGGTAAAAATTGGTTTTTCTCACTTTTGACCCTCAAAACACAAAATTTCCCAATTTCTCTTTATACCTTTTTAAAGAGCTTAAAAAGAACAAATAATTTAGTTTATAAAAGTATTTTTGTTCAGTTATTAGTGACAGAGAAAATTTAAACAATTGTAAATTTAAATTTCCATGTTATTTATATGGAGAATATTATCAAATGTTGTAGTTTGCTTGTTTATGGATATAATTTGACCAAACTTGGCAAATTTATTTATTTTGTACTAAGCTATCAATATTTTACTAAAAAACACACTTTATTAGTTTCCTTGTAGCAGCAAACCTAGGTACTCGTTAAACCTAATGTTATTAAAATATATTTAATTGAAAATCAATTCAGACCGGGCACACAGCTAGTGCTTATTAAAATTATCATTTAACAGTCTTCAGATTTTACAGTTGGTTGAGAAGTCATTGCATTACCCCCAAAAAAGAGTTAAATGATATTAAGAATGGTGTGGTTCAGTATCAGCTATTTATTTTTTGTATTCTATTAAAACCTACATGATTAAAATTATAACTTATAAGTGTTTTACATTATTATTGACAAAAGATGATTTAATAACAAAGTTTTATCATTAAATTGTTCTGTTTGAGTGTGATGAACTATGGATTTATTTAAAACTTGTAGATATAAAGCTGTAGATATAAAGCCTGTAGGTATATATAGTCAATGATTAAAGTCAAGTTTGATGGGTCGATCTATAGTTATAAGGAACATGAAAAACTTGAAAACTCTAAAAAATCACTAATAGACTGGCAGAAGGGAATTTAAAATTCGTAACCTCTATTTGTAAAGTTTTCTGAAGAAACGAATACCAAATAGTTTTGACATTTGTTTACATCATTCATATATTTCTTGCAGTATGCAACCTCTATAAAATACAATAAAAAATATCATGAAATCTTCCTAACTGTTAGCTAGGTCTACAGAGCAAAAATAAACACATTCCTCCATGATCTCAAGTGCTGGATAAGAAATTGTTTTGCAAGATTCTAGCAATAAATATTTCCACTTTGGTATTATTGATATGTTATATTAAATTGAATTTTAGCTACAAATTGATTGAAAGCTCCTAACTAATTTGTGGTAGCTGAAAATGTAATAATTTTACATGAAAGAGGTCAACAGATAGTTCTGAAAAAAAAAACCTAAATAACATCCATTAATAGACATTCTTAAGCTAACTCTAAGGCTGTGGCAAGACAACAAAATATTGATATTATTCTCTAGTGCAGAACAATAATTTTCAATTTTTATTGACAGGTTTTGTATATGTACATATAATTTGGTTTGATTTTACTAGCTTTACAAACCCTCTTCTTTGCAACACAAAATGTTTACATTATGTCCATACTCTACTTCTGTGTCCTCATCACACAAAACATAACGTGAGATCATCCTACAAAACAATCACCAGTTGCCCACTCGAGCACAGTTTTTGCCTGGGCAAGTTGCAGTTTGGCCTATTTATGGAACGTCTGGAACATGTTAACTCAAGTGGTACTCCAGTAAGTGACTCATTTCGACTGTTGTATTGGATACAAACACCACTGATGCTGTTACACAATCAATCAGTTACTGATTGTTGATAACATGCTGCTGATTGTTGTGCTGATAGCTATGGTCACTGTGGTAGCTCAGCAGAAGTCAAATGTGGATTCTAGCAGCGGGTTTTTCAATTCCGGTCAAGCTAAAAGACTGAAAGATACTTCAGGAAGGCTGGAGAACATGGTGTTGAAGTCCAAGGTGGAAGTGCTTGGGCAAGTTCTCAAAAAACAATTTGAGGGTCTTGTCGCTGCTGAGAAGAACAATGTGAGTGTTGATTGTTTCTTTACTTTAATTTACTGTTTGATTACTAATATAACTTAAATATTAATTTCAGGCTTTAAGAGTGAAAATTTAAAAACGTACGTTTTCAGGAAAAGCGCTTTGCAAATTTTTTTCCCCCTTTTTCAAAACTTTTATTATTATTTTTATTTCATTAACGTTTGAAGTTTCATAAAATGTCCATGGTAACGCAATATCTTTGGTATTTTTTTAAAAAAAAGAGCATCTTTAGTAGAAAAACACAAAATCCTGTCACGACCATAACAGACGTTTAAATGAATATTAAAAATAGTTAATATTATTTTTATAACTATGTTTTGCTATAAACTAATTTACTTTTATGACCATTATACAATAAAAATGTCACTGAGCTTTTGGTATATTTGGTCTTTCTAAAAAAAAAATAAAAAAACTCAAAAAGTTGAAAAAGTTGAAAAAAAGCCATTAAAATCTTTTTAAGTTTGTATAACTCCGAAAAAACTTACCTGAGACCCGAAAAATCGTTATGTTTGTATAGAGGTGTGCTTCTTTTGTGTATAAAACATTGAAATATGACGATCTTTTAATTTTTGAAATTTTTATGATAGAAATCATATACGTGATGGTCAGGGACAAGCGGTACGGTCGTGAATTTTCTAAAATAATCTAAATCTTTTTAAACAATCCTTCAATTATACTGTTAGTTATAATAAAAATAAGTGTTTCAATTGAACTAAACTGTTCAAATTACAATTATATTCAAGTTATTGTCACGACCAAACACACTAAAATCCATAAGGCTGGATTGGTCGTGAAAAAACCCGCGATGGTCGTGAAACTTTGGTCTTGAAATTTCGTGTTATTTGGCTCTGTTCTGGCGGTAGCCCTGCACCTCATGTTCGAGGATACAAAGTGAACTTCTAGGTTAATCTAGCAATTGAAATATCTTATAAAGAAAATTAACACCATGTCTACTTCATCGAATGACTACGTACGGTCATGGACACACCAAAATTACAAAAAACACAATCTTTCCTTTATTAATCTTGTAATTCCTCCTTTCAACTCGAAACGACCGGCACTACAATCCTGACGTACACCCCGAACTAGTCTCTAAAACCAACTGACTCCATCGACGCCAGGCTTGCCACTGTCGTGCTCCAAAGTTGAAAATTTTTCCCAAATGGTCGTGACGCCAAATCAAGGGACAGACTTATTTTGTCATGGTAGTCAGTTCGCAATGACAATAAAATTATAATATGCTCATTTTTTGTAAGTTTAATAACCATTGATGACATAAAAATATGGCTTTCTATATTTCGGCATGAATAAATAGTATAAAAACAGCGTGAAAGTTGGAAAATGTACCCTAGGGACACGTCATGGTCGTGAATTTCGAGACTTTAAAAATACGAAAAAAATACCTAGAACCTATTTAAAACCAAATAAATGTGTGTAACATGTTGCCCCCGTCCCCAAAAATATTAAAACACATAATAATAAACTACAAATCCAGTATCTACGAAGTAAAAGGCCAGGGACATGAAAACGTACGTTTTTAAATTTTCACTCCTAAGCAGGCTTAACTTATAAATTGTAGGCATCCCACTTGACTACAGTAACACAGAAGAAAACACAAAGAACAGTGTTTTCTTCTGTGTTACTGTAGTGAAGTGGGATGCCTACAATTTATAAGGTAAGCCTGCTTATCATATCGTCTCCTTAATTCTCAGGCAATAAGCCGTTTCCAATCAAACTTAAACATTAATTATTGGTCTTTAAGGGATATTTTCATATCAATTTCTTAAAGATCATTAAAAAAGAGTTAATACATATCCTTGTTTTTGGTGAGTTTTTTCCTATTCAAGCGATTTCATAATAAACCCTGTACTGTTTAAGGTCAATTCAGTGTTTTAGACGGAAATATGAATTATTAGACCAATAGGGCCACATCTGCTATAAACCATACAATATTTAATGTAAAGAGGCCAAGTGAATAGCTAAATAGGTTTGGAGCACTAATTTTTTACTGTGCACAGTAGTTGTAACATTTCAAATCATTTCTTACGTGTGCAGTTACAGAGTATAAACACTATAAACCTTTAAGTAAACATAATTCTAACCATATTCTGTATCACAGTATACATGTCTACAGGCTGGGCTGAGCAATTTCTTTAGAAATTTTACTGATGTATTGGTTTTAAGTTGCCAAATATGAGGTTTTGCTACAAACGAGATTCTGATTCAAAATGAAAAATTAAGGGTTTGCAAAACACTAGTTGACCTACAATGGTATGAACACATTTTTTCAGCTATCTACAAAATAAATAATAAGTTTTCAAATTCAAAATGAATAAAATGAAAAATCTTGTGGAAGGGAAAGTTCTAGGTACGATATTCTAAAAGAGGTAACTAAAAACCAAGAATGTTATTAGTTTAAGGAATACATAGATGATGCATATTGGACATTGTCAGTTATTAAGTCAAATCTGTCTATAAAACTAATTGTTATGACACAAAGGGGGGACAGTGTACAAAGACAATAAACAATAGACAAATTTTGGATTACTCTAAAAGGACATTTCTCTCATGTGCAGCAAAGTGTCACTTCCCACACTAGTTACACAAATAACTATTTCATTTCACTAGTTAAATGGAAAGTACTTGTACTTGTACATTTACCAGTTAAGGAGTAGTCAAATATTTCAAACAATTATCAATCATTGAGATGCCACATAGGTGCATATTTTAAGCCAAATATGAGTGAAGGATGAGTGTAGAATGGCCTGAGATTATCTGTGTAGCTGTTACTGACTAAGCTCAGCTGTTTGATTATCCAGGGTCTTTATTTGAAGCCCAATGATCAGGAACAGCTGTTTCCAGTTTCAAACCATCAAAAAGCTACAGTACTGACTTTTCTTAGGACCAAACCGGTGACCTTTAAATTGCTAGGCGAGCAATAATCACTCGGCTTCCCTACATTTATATTCAGATAGGTACCAATATACAAAACCTTCCAATCTCCATTCTAAGCGTTTTTATTGTGTTTTAGAAAGTAGAATTAGTGTTTCTTGTGGATGCTTCATCAAGCGTTGGTGCAGAAAATTTCCAGTCCGAACTTCAATTTGTTAAGAAACTATTGGCAGACTTCTCGGTATCCTACAACCACACCAGGGTGGCCATAGTGTCTTTTGCTTCTATTGGGCAAGTGGTTAGTACATTAAAATTGTTTGCCATGCAAGTGAATTTTTTATCTAAGAATCTCAAACTCTTTCAAGGGAAAGCCTGAACAATATTGCGTGAGATCTTGCATTACTGTATAATGTTTATTGATGTATTATTAATGCATCATCATGTGCTGGCTAAACTAAGTGGTTAGAGATTAAGACTTGCTGGCCTAAAGGCCTGGGTTCAAATCCCACTATTGACCAAAAGCAATGTAAATTACTCTATGTGATAACAATGAATACAAACCCTTTAAGAAGTGAAATGCTTAAATGGAGAATAGTCAGACTTGAATTTTGCCCCCAAAATAAGCTTGTGCGGCCGCCACTAGGATCGCTCACGTGGCGGCCATGCCACTCTATCTCTCTCTCTGTTGTCTCACTCTCTCTCACTCAGTCAGCTGACTTGGCCGCGAACTCGCGATAGTATACCTAGCGGCCGCTGCGGGAACTAACCAAAATTCAAATATTCCCAGACTGAATTTTTAACAAAGGCATTGCGTTTCTTAAAGGGTTTGTATTCATTAGAGATAATTCCTGTGCACAGAGAAAACCTGGATACTTCCTGGATAGGAAAACGATTCATGTGAATTGTCATCGTATTGGAGATCTTCCACAGATAGAATATTGGATAGTTCAATTTGTATTACGAATATCAATTCATAATTACTTTTTAATAGCAGTAATTAGCTTCATTAGAAATTTCCTTTTGTTTTGTCATAAATTCAATTGGTAAATTTCATTGGTAATTACCAGCACTCAACCAAAAAAGCAAATATTACTATATTTTCGTACTTAACTAGTAAAAAGCCCTTACTTTTTTCCAAACCACTGTTTTATAACTGTGTGTGAGGCAGGTAAGAGAAGTTGATCTGATGAGTGGACCCTCGGAACAAGAGAAATGCAGTGTTTTTCACCACAAGGTCAAGTATAGTGGAGGAGGCACCTACACGCTGGGAGCCATGCTGGAAGCTCAGGTAATTGATGTGGATTCATTCACAATATTTTGGTCCTCTAATATTAGCAGTAGCACACATTCAACTTATTAGGCCTAACTCATAAATACATCCTTGAGTCCATCTTTATCTTTGAGAATGAATTCCAGTATATCCTTCATTAGGGAAGGAATTGTGTTTCGGAAAATGGAAAGGGAAGTCATCCAAGTAAATTTTACAGTGCAAGCAGTTTTGTCAAATTGGGTAATAGCTATTTACCTTACAAGTGTAGTAAGAGAGTTTTTACATCACGCAGGTGAATGTTGTTCAACGAGCGGAAGCGAGTTGCATAATTCACCTAAGTGATGTAATCACGCTCTTGCGTAACGTGTAACGTACAAGATTTTACCTGACCCGACAATATACAGGGGGTTATGTATAGTATTTTTCATTATCCATTTCACTCATCTTCTAACAGTAACGTTCTTTTACAAACAAAAGCTAGGTTAGTGAGTTTTTGAAACTTTACTTCATTCGTGATGTAAAGAAGTTGTATACATCACGCTTGGGATAGGGAAGTTTTAACATGGCGGGTTAGGTAAAAATATTTATTTTTACGTTTCAACTGAATTCAATTAATCATTCTTTCTTATAGGGGTTTTAAGGTGATGGATGTCTTTAAGTACTCAATTTAATGACCTATGTTACCCCCTTTGCCACTCAAACCTAGGTTTTTGGTCTCGCAACAAGTGAATTGACTTTTATTAAGTGTATTAAAAAAAATCTCAAACACCTTATTAATGGCACAATCTATCTAGTACTGCTATTTTCTTCAGAACTATGAAGACAAAATGTATGAAAAACATATATCAAAAGAAAACATCTTCATGTTTCAGGACATATTATCTCACGCTCGTCCAAACTCTCGTAAAGCCCTGTTTCTTGTTACGGACGGATTTTCCAACGGCGGAGACCCTCGCAATGTTGCGAAGTCTCTAAAATCTGATGGGGTGACAATCTTCACCTTTGGAGTTCACAATGGCAACACTGCTGAACTGTTTGAAATGGCCTCAACTCCTGGCGAGGAACACTCGTACATTCTAGACAGTTTTGAGGAGTTTGTGGCTCTAGCCAGAAGAGCTTTGCACAGAGGTAAAGGATTAGTAACCTACAACATTTCAAAAAAACAACTCTAAAATAACTCGCAAATTTCTCTTGTGAAATTGAAATTAAAATTATATTCACTAAAATCTGAGGTAGAGCTGGTACACTGAAGTAGACATCCCTTTTTTTGAACAATCTGAAGCCAGATTTAGAACTTTTAAAATAAACATATCCTAGATTTGGTTTTTTTTTTAGAAATTTGTATGTTATTGTTTGTTGTTGTTTGTTCATTTGATTTCATTGGTTTCAGACTTGACAGCTGGGTCATATGTTCCAGTGGGAGACAGTGCTTTGTGCCTCAACATCTGTGGTCCCATGGCCAGGTTAACAAAACTCATAGATGTCATTTGTATAGATTATTTTACCTAACCCGCCATGTTAAACTTCCCTATCCCAAGCGTGATGTATACAACTTCTTTACGTCACGAGTGAAGTAAAGTGAAACTCACTCGGTGATTGAGTGTTTAACTTAAAAAATATACCTCTATGGAGCTAACGACGTTTAACGCTAGAAATCAGCTGTGCGCTTGAATTTTATTGTTATGCTTTGAAGAATTTTCCTAACCTAGCTTTTGTTTGTAAATGAACGTTACTGTTAGAAGATGAGTGAAATGGATAATGAAAAATATTGTTTGTAACCTCCTGTATATTGTCGGGTCAGGTAAAATCTTGTACATTACAAGTTACGCAAGAGCTTGTTTACATCACTTAGGAGAATTATGCAACTTTGCTTCCGCTCGTTGCACAACATTCACCTGTGTGATGTAAAAACGCTCTTATTTAAGTGTACATACACATAACATATTAATTTACTAGGTATAGGCCTACAGTAGATAGTTCAAAAACCACTCTCACTTCCTGAATGTTAACTTCTTCCTCATACTTAATCTTTTTTGAAATTATTTTTCAAACATCACAACAGTAATAAAAAATGTTACAGGTTGTATAAAAATATGCCAATGAAAATGAAATATCTGGCTGCAATTTTGAAATTTGCAAAATTGAAATAAGTATATTCTCTCTAACAATTTAGTTTAGTTCAACAGTACTGCAGGCACTATCTATCTTTTTAAGGACAGCAAAATTTAATTGAGATATAAGCTTAAACTTGGTACTCTATGATGAATAAACAAATTGTGATTATGGTTTTTGATATCGTATCAAATGTTTGCTAGTGCAACATCTTGCTACATATTAGGTTTAATTTGATCATATTTTTATCCAAATAATAGATTCTCAAGTTCATTAGATCTTAGATGATAAATGACAAATTAATTCAAAATCTTTCTTGTACAATCAGTGAGATATCATATTTTTGAAAGTAATTTATCTATCAAAATATCATGTTTTTGGTCCTCATATTGGAAGATTTACAATAATTATTGTCTGTGGTAAATACAAAATTAACTTAGTATTACAGGTGTTCCTGTGGACTCCGCACAGGACAATATGAGTGTTTGTGTCCCCCAGGACATTACGGTCTCGGAACAGCTGATCAGGAACATCCTTGTCTCCGTAAGTTTTCAGTAACGTATTTGGTAACAAACATTACTTACTTATACTTGCAATATCCTACATTAAGTGCATCGCTGTTTACACACAAATACTTTTTCCTGTGTACTTTAAATTGATAGATTATCTAACTTTCATGTATACATGCAATGTTATTCATCGAGATATGTGTATATTTTGGTCTGACTCAAACAGAACACTGGGATATTACACTACCTTTAGATCTCACATATTAAGTTAAACTAAAAAAAAAAGCTTCTTCGTCCACTTACCAGTAATTGAATGTATGTTGCACAAGACTATTTTTATGTGCCAACCGGGTAAACTTTTTCAGTTTACCTAACCTTTGAGTGATTTCAACAATAAGCACATAAAACCTGCATAGCCTTAAAAATTCATTTTATGTAGTAAAATAGTAGCGAAGTGGTAAGCTGAACTATAGGTTAAACTTACACATTTAAAGTTAACTGTGAAATATTAATTGGTCTTCGGGAGATGATTTCGTGTACAGTTCTACATTTGAATTGTACTATATGTACATAAAACATTGTTGAATTGTGATTGGAATGATGGAATGCCAAAGATGGAATGCTACAGTCCAGCAAATATTTTTGCCAGTTTGCTGTCATTTCCATTGACCTAATATCTTAGTGGTAAGTTGTTAAACAATAATTATGTAGATTTTGTTCATTCTGTACAGGGCCAAAAACCAACAACACACACCCCTGGCACACACCTGGTTAAGTGTTTATTGAGTTGGTGGTATGTTCATACTAGTCGGGAAATTGCTTGTTCAAACCTTAATAAAGTAATTAGATTTTTAGATGGTTTGAAACTGGACTTCTCTGTTCTAGATCATTGGACTAATATTCCTGACTAAATAAATAGTTTAATATTTTTCAGTTACACAAAGCTATCTCACCCATCCTACACTGGTGGTTGTGTTCTGATAGTGATATCTCTGTCATAGCTTGTCCTAACGGCACGTATCACAATGGCAGAGTGCCGGGAGATGTCACCTTGTGCCGACCTTGTCCTGATATCAACCACCAGACACTCGGACCAGCTGCAGACGAGGGTCATTGTGTCTGCAAGCCTGGCTTTGTGGCCAACGGATCGTCTTGTGAAAGTTAGTCTCTGACATTCAATCGTGTGCTGATTTTTATATTTTCTAATTCTCAAAGATGTAAGTTTATTTTTTGAGTAGGTATCTCAGTTGTTAGTGCAAAAACAGATTAGCAAAGTTGTGAATTTCCATTCCTGCATATTGTTTGTTTTGCTCGATGTTTGATTTATTTATTTGTGTTGAGAAATAGGTAAAAATATTTGAGGCTGCCAACCTCTGTTTGTAAAAAAAATATTTTTATAATATTTTAAAATGTAGATAAGGATGTAACATTTTACACTATTGTGGATACCATTTTTATTGATTACCTCTATCACTTTACCTCTATTGAATATTGATTATTTAATACCATCTCAATCATGTATTTCTTGAGTCCTTAGGAGTTGATTAGGACTTTTCACTTGCACATTTAAGAAAGTTTGACTCCATTTTCAATTAACATTACTGAGTGGTGATTGTGAACCTTGCATTCATTCAATGTTAAATAATTCTAGTATGGGTGGGAGTTAAAGAAAGCTAGCTGAACTTTGTAATTTTTTTAGAGCTGGGGTCTCTTTTGACCTTACATTTGTCTGACTAAAAAGGGTTCTGAAGTTTGTTTGGAACTTACCAAGCAAAGAAAGGTGTGAGCCATTAAGGTACAAGACTGAACATTATTGAATTACAAGTAGTGGCACCAGAACGCAAATCCTCAACATCGCTTCCTTGGATTCAAAGCCTGTCAGGCTATCGATTGAACCACTGACTCACACAATTAAGGATCCTAATTTAAATTCTTACACTTTAATATGCAAATCAATAGTATTTTTGATATTACAGTTGTAAAGTGTCCGGCCCTGAAAGTCCCCAAGAATGGCCTGTTTGTCCGAGGAGCTTGCAACAATGTTGTCAACGCAGGATGTGGATTACGCTGCAAAGTCGGTTATTCTCTCATTGGCTCCAGTGTTAGGCTATGTCAGCAGGATGGCAGATGGTCCGGCAAGCCACCAAAATGTGTTGGTAAGTCTAGCCTTTACAACCACTTTTTCCCCTTAAAATCTTCATATCTCAATTTTCATATCCTGGTCTTTTTACTTTCTAATGTCGACTTGTTGGTAGAAAACATTATTAATTGGTAGCAATTTATTATAAATGGCATCTAGAATATGGGTCCAGAAATGGTTTACCCTCAGGATCAAACCAGCAACCTTCAGATTTGAGAAAAATGTCTTTCACAGGAAGCTTTTAAAGGTACGTTTCCAAATTGGCAAGCCATAAACTTAATGTTGCATGTTGATAGTTTTCCAAACCAAAAATCCATTAATGCTGATTATAAAATATTAATTTTATTTTTTTAACAAGTGCTGCAGCCCCTTGAAAATCATGGTACTAATATACTCTCTAGGTATATTAGGAAAGGAAAGGATGTCTGGCTGAATGGGCTGTTGCAAATAAAGACTTTTAAACTAAAACAAAAATAATTCAACTTTAAGGACTTACGATCCTTTGTTCAATAAGTGAACTTGCCTTTAACCATGTTCCCAGTGAAGAGATGCCCCCGTCTCAGACCCCCACCCAATGGCATGCTCACATGCAGCCCCAAGGTGTCGAGAGAAGAAGACTTCCCAGTGGACGCAGAGTGTAGATTCTCCTGTCACCCTGGCAGCCATCTTGTGGGATCTCCTGTCAGGTCTTGCCTTCCCCTGGCTCGCTGGGACGGTCTCCCAACATCTTGCAAACGTAAGTTTACCTTTATTGCTCTAGCTTTTAGATACCAAAGAATAACTCACCTAGAGTTCTCAGATATATTACAGGCTGTCCAGCCAACCTGAAAACAGGAAACACCAGGAATTTTACGTGAATTTTGATGACCAGGAAATAATCTTTAAACTGTGTGCATGAATTTTTGTAAAGAACCAGGAAAACTAGATGTTTGAATAATGGCCGGAAATTCTGCCCGAAATAGCAGATTTGAGCGAATTTCCTTATAGGGAAATAGTATATAGTAGGGAAATAGTAGTATAGTAGCTACAGTATTACCGTAGGTCTCACGGTAAGACCTGGGCCCGGGACCTTTTTACTTTTGAATTTTGATGTCCTTAGAGGCCAAAAACACTATTCGTTCGTATTTTTATATATGTGTATGTATATTATGTGTGTGTGCGTGAACGCAATAACTTGAGTATTTTTTGTCCGTTTTTGATGAAATTTGGCTTGAAGGTGTAGGGTGGGGTAAAATTGAATGAGTTCGTGAACCAGCATGATCGGACTATGGGAACAGGTTTTTACAGGGGGTTTTATGAAGTAAAAATTGGTTTTTGTAATTTTTGATCTCAAAACAAAAGAAAAAACCCAATTTCTATTAGTACCATTTTTTAGAGCTTAAAAAACAAACAATTAAGTATATTGAAGGGGTTTTTATATGGTTATTAGTCATAGAAAAAGTCCAAAAATCGTAAATTTAAATTTGCCATGCTATTCTTATGGAGAATAAGTCAACTGTTATAGTTTGCTTTTTTACGGATATTTTTTGATCAAACTTGGTAAACTTGCTTATTTTATACTAAGGTATCGATATTCTACTAGAAAACCACTTTATTTCCCTGTAGCAGCAAACCTAGGTACTTGTTAAACATATTGTTATTTAAATAGATTTAATTGAAAATCCAATCGGGCAAATGGAAATTTGCTTAGTCTGTAGGTTTGCTGAAGCGAGGGTATTTTTAGTATTATTTAGTTGAAAATCACGACTGCGGGAAATTATCCCGAATAATGGACGTTGATCATTTTAATCATTTCGTTATAAGTTATTTAATATTTTAGTGAATTTTCCTTACTCCTTGAAAGAAAACTTTACTTTTTCAGCCATCAAATGCTTGGCACTTCACAAAGTTCCCAATGGTGTTTGGTATCCAGAAGAATGTTCAACCAACAGGAAACTTCCTTTTGGCCAAAAATGTAAAATCTTGTGCAACAAGGGGTTTGACAGAGAGGGACCAGATGTCCGGGAATGTGGACTGAAGGGATCTTGGACCAATAAGAAAGAAGTCTCCAAGTGTGTAGGTGAGTACTGGCATTGCTTAGTTTAAACATACCCTATTATAGGTTATTAAATTGTAGAAAAAGGAGGATAGCAGCTAGCTTACCTTGAAAGTGTGGGTAGGCCATAGAACAAGTAGAAAAACACTGTGCACACAATATTTTGTCCCCTAAGGGACTATTAATATAGGAACCTATTATAGATTAGGAAGATACTGTAGCAGGCTTACCTGAATGGGAAAGAGTACAATCTGAGACAAAAACAACACTTAACATACATATACAAAAAATTATAATACTTCACTTTCATATAAAAAAAGAGGGAATAGTACTCTGGTCAAAAATATTATGGAGGTTATTACAGAGTGAGTAGTCTGAAGGTTATGGTAGAAAACATTTCATTTGACATCCTAACATTTTTTGAGCATCTATCTAACATTTAATATAGTGAAGAAGTTCTCCCTTTCTTTTACTTTAATAGTGACGTATGTTTAGCTGATGTTAAACCAAAATATATATATGCGGTTTGCATCTATATTGTATCCGTATTGTTCAGAAACAACAATTTGTCTGCATTTAGAAAATTGGAACAACAGTGTATCTGCGTCCAGACACTAAGTGACCTTAGGTGCTTCTTACAATTTTATAATCTTCCCTCATCCTTCGTAATACTCACCAAGATTTCAGAAAATAAAATATATGTCACCAAATGTCGCCACTAGGTGGCCTATCTAATATACAGTATATTGTAGAAATAAGGATTTAGATTATTCAGTTTACTGTACGTACAATGTGCCACACAATGGCTATTTGTCTATAATTTCGACTTTGGGACTTGGTACATTCTGTTTTGAGTTTTTGTCCATGCTAATTAAACCTTTTGTTTCATGTACGTAAGAGTATTATAGGAATAGTCTTTTAAAGTCCCCTTTTTTTATACTTTTAATGTTTAGTTTATCCTATTTTACCTGTGTCACCACTTGAACCAATGTTCTAATTTACCTGTTTACCATGTTTCACATGATGATATTTACAGACACATCACCTCCGATTCTCACTTGTCCAGACAACATCACAGTTCAGACAGACCCAGGAATGAGTTATGCTTCTGTCACATGGTCTCAACCTGAACCTCAAGGTAACCTTACACTTACATTATAGTTATCTAATGAAATCAGGTTGTTAAATTAAATAGACGGGCTTAAAATTACGGATCTCTAATGTGTGTGGGCAAATTTCAATGAGAATTAAAACCTATAGCGAGGGTTGTTTGACTAGTGCATTTATGGAAGGAAGTTGTAAGGTTGGGTATTTTTTCCAAGACTACCTGGTATAAGACAATTAACCAATTTTCGGCAAAAGCCAACAAAGGTATATGTTCTATTCCAAGATACCTCATAAAGTCTTTTGTTTAAAAATGCAATCAACATGAACTCTTTAAGCTGAATTATGTTTTACCCTCAGTGGTGTTTTGATCCTTTTGAGTTAAAATTTTAATGAACCTCTTTATGTGTATGAAAAATTAATAATTTAAAGAGTGATTTTGTGATGAAAAGTTTTAAGGTTTTTCAATGTTGGATATGTATTAGACAACATAAAGCTTTTTCGCTTACCTATTTGTTGTCTTACCCTAACATTGTAGGATGCTAGGCTCTAGCCCCTAACCGTTTTACACATTACTTCAGGCTAGTCCTAGAGTTCGCAGCATTATCACTTCGATAAAGTCCGTTGGTGATACGTAAAATTTGAACCCAGGACATCGGGGATCAAAGTCCCGAACTCTACCACTTGACCAGCTTCTTCCCTTGTCTTCAGCCAACATATATTTTCTAATGAATCTCAAAAAGTCTGTCCATTAAAGTAAAAATGTCTTAAGATCAAAACTGATACACTGTGCTTATTTCTATAAAAATATAAAAAATCAATTATAGTTAGAAAAAGCAACTATTACTATCAGACCATTTTTCATGGAGTCCTCTAATTATATTTTTCCAGATAACTCCAACACCTCTGTTTTGTTGTGGTCTGACCCACCAAGTGACTTTCCAATGAAACTTCCCATCGGCAACACAATCATCAGCTACGTTGCAACAGACTCCAGCTACAATCAGGCAGTCTGTGAATTCTCTGTCACAGTAAAAGGTACGTTAGAGACTGGTTATAATGCCTAGGTCAGGTGTTTTGGGAGTTGAGTACAATACATAAAAAGAACTATGCAACGTGAAGAACAGTACTTCTACATATTTATATTAGTTATTTTTCCAAACTTATTCAATATATTTAGGAGACCGTCAACTATCCAAAAGAATTGTGGCAGAGGAGGTTTGGATGGTAAATTTGTTTTACGAGAAGTGGACGCTCCTGCCGGCCACTCTTGTAATGTTGGCATGGCTGTAAATTTGAATTTGTAGTTTTTGGCAACGATTTTGGTTAACTGACGTTCGGATAATCGGGGCTCTACTGTATTACAATATTTATTGAACCTTTATCTGAAAAATTATATTCAAAACACTGAAGAAATATATAAATAATAATAGGCATACAGCAATAGAGTATTGTGCTGGGTTTGACTTAATTGTTTATGTCTCTATGAACAAATTGGTGTATGCCATACACCGGTCTTAACTTAAACTGTACCGTTCTTCATTGTGCTGTACACATATTGGTTGAATTACATTTCAATGTTTTTCTTAATATTAATCCTTGTAATCTATCAGCGTATTTACTAGAGAAAAGAATTTATTTTAAAAATAAATACGTCTGCCTTAAAAAATAAGGTTGCCAATGACACAGAAAAAAATTTACACTTAAAATATTGAAGGGTTATAACAGCTATAAGACTGATTAATTTTGATGTTACTGACTAATTAATTAAGTTACTGATTTGAATTGAGTTACCTGAATCCTTTAATTTTACAGATACAGAACCTCCGACTATAGAAGATTGTGAGTCACCACCGCCTTTTTACCTGTATGTTAATTTAACTGCCAATTTATCTTCTGTGTGGCCCCAGTTTAGTGACAATTCAATGACAAAGTTGTACGTGAGTATTAATTACATTATAGTATTGATACCATTCTCATAGATCCTTAGTCAATATTTTTCAACTGTCAATAAAAAAATAGAAATATATCTTACCTCTGCCCCCCCCCCCCTGAAACCGAGTCCTAAAAACAAATACTTATTAAGTGAACTTGTTAACACTATTCGTGCTGTCAACATGTTTGAACATAAAAGTTGCATTTATTTCAATGTTAAGCAATTGCGGGAATTCCCGTCATCAGCACCCAACGTGTTAACTGGTACATTTTTGCTCTGTAAAAAATAAAAAAAATAATCCTCAACATTCTGTCAGAATATTCTTTCTTTTCAACCTGTTACAGATAAATTCGTCTCACATTCTGGAGGAGTTGACCACTGGTACTACTGAAGTTATGTTCACTGCTGTTGACAGCTCAGGCAATTCTAATTTCTGCACTATGAACTTTACAATAGTAGGTAATGAAAGTTCTAAATTACTACACACATTTACAAACTTTACAGTTTGTTTAGTTCTTATGAACAATGTAGTTGTCTTAGTATGGCTGTGTTCAACATCTGGATATAGAGTTTACAATTTTTTTTTTTTTTTAAATAAGCAACTACATGCACCCTACTTAAAGATCATACCTCTGGGAAGCAAAGTCTGGCATAGAAGCTTAAGGCACTATTCGAGGCTGAAAAGTTTTAGTCTAGGATTTTCTTAGTCGATGATTTTTATTTGATCGCTTTACCAAGTAGATTGCTCAGTTTCATGATATGAGCAAATTAAGAATCCAATATTCTACAGCATCTGTTATTGAGCTTACGCAGAGGATATTAATCTGGGTTTTCAACACAGTACATTGTACTGAAGGTTTTTTACAACTTTTATCCCCAGAAGCCAACTGAAGAAGCCATGCACACTTCATAGCTTACAAGTTCATCTTGTTACCTTTTGTAACACTTACCACCTTTTATGGCTCTAAAACCAAGTTGGATGATGAAAAGGTTGTTTTTATAACATAAATTAGTTTGCCAAATGTTAACTATTAATTTAATTTCTTCTAAGTGGTATAAGAGTTACAACATTTCCGTTTCCCCTTTTTCATTGAATACATGTGTTCTTTACTCCTAGATGAAGGGTGTAAAAATCTACCTCCCCATGTAGTATCCAACTGCTCAGATGAGTTCTGTGTCCTGTCTTGTGAGGAAGGGTACATGTTCACCACGGCTAACTCAACGATTGAAGTTCCTTATCCTTGTGATGAATCTACACTCCCTCAATGCTCAGGTGATGAAACTCAAGTTATTTGAAATTAAACTTTTTAGTTCAAATTTCATCTCAAAACAAAACTTTAAAATAGTACTTTATAAGTTATCATAAGATTCATAAGAGTTGCATCTTTGTCTGTAGAAACTGAAGTACCTAATCAAATCGTGCAGGAGGGAAGTTTTACTTTCGATCCAGTATCAACCGATCTTTGCAATGACTCTAGCTTTTTGAATCAGGTAAGTTGTTATTTAAATTGTTGATGCTTGAATTATTTATTATTCTTGACTTAACCTATACATTTCTGTATGAATCTATTACACTTAGATATGAATTGAAAAAAACATTGCCTTTTGCTCTCCCCAAAAAAGTCTAATAACTATATTCATCAAAGTGAAAGCTTGCACTTGACAGTTCATGGCAAAACTGATTTTTTCCCACATTTTATTACCATCAATTTCTTGCCACACAGTACATTAGTTCATTACAGAACCAACCAAAAACATTAGAAAAATACTTTGTTTGCTACTCTAACTCTATCAATATATTCATACAATTTTTTTGGTTAAACATTAGATGTGTTTCATAATAATGTGTTGCAAGGTGAAGTCATCCTTCAGACAGAGCTTGGAGGATGTCTGCAACGACGTCAGTAACTGCAGTGTCGGAGTAGAGACGGAATGTGAGGGTGTGATAGAGTCAGTGGAGGAAGAGTCCAACTTGGTGATCGGTAGAAGGAGACGATCCATTCCAGCCAGACACATCAACGTCAACTTTAAACTGTCTGGTGAGAACTTTGTCATTGAGATACTTACAATCTTTATAAATTATCTTTAAATTATCTCATGGATTATTTCATTGGAGAAGTTTTTAACGGGAAGGTTCTCTTTTGAAAGACCTATACTTTTGATATACGAGGGTTGTTTTTTAACAAGGCTCCTCGCTGCTTACTGGTATAATTTGTGAAAAGAACCACACTATTTGCAGCTCTGTAGCTTACAAGTACACTTTGCTGTGTCTGTAGAAAAATTTTAAAATTATTTAATCTCCCACCGCATGCTAGATAAGGTCAGTAATAGGTTTTTTAACATCGAGAAACCTTTCACCTGCAGACATTCATCACGAGATGACTGAAGGGGCCTTATTAGGGCCACAAACCTAATACAATGAGTGAGAGTAAAGTGCAGAAATGGGTTAGTGAGTTTAAAAATGGCTAAACAATTTCCATTTCGGAAGGAATTGTGTTTTTGGAGGGTACCCAGACTTCTCATAGAATATCACAAAGAAAAACGTTGATGGATGTTGCCATGGGATGGTGGTCAAGAAACGTATCACTGGCCTAGTGGCCTTATCTCGCATGTGTCGGAAGATTCAATAATGTTTGCTGCCAGTGTCAGGTTTTATAGATTTTTTTGCATCAGCCGCTTATTCAGGTTGTATATTTAATGCTAATGGAAATAGTCATTGCTGGCTGTAATTTTCAGGTAAGTTCTCTGAGGAAAATACCCCAGAGAAGTTATCCTCGTTGGCGAAGAACAACACAATACTGCAAGGTATTTCTAAAAAGAAGGCTGGAAAACTTAATTTAAAACCAGCTCATGGAGTTTGTCTTCCTGGTTCTATCTACAAGAAGAGCCGATGTGGTAAGTCTCAACTTTTCAACAGTTAGGTATAAATCTTGCGTTTTATCACTTGTACTCATAAAAAAATATAAAAAAAACACACCAACGCAGATAAATAAACACTTTTTATGCATGTCGAGGATTCACGTCTCGATCCCGCCACTAAAAAAGTCATTCTTGTACTATATTTATATATTGATTTGCTTGATACTCATACACAGACTTTTTAGAAGCACATGTGAATAGAAAAATTCAGAGTTAAAAGGATAAAGCCAACCAAAAAAGTTAGAATTTTAATTTATTTTTGGTTTCAGTCAAGTGTCCACCTGGTACGTACTGGAAGGAAGGTAAGCGCAACTGTGTGGCCTGTGGGTTTGGAACCTATCAACCATTACCTGCTCAACTGGACTGCCTTCTCTGCCCCAATAACACCTCTACTAGAAAACTACATGCAAAGAATGTCCTGTCTTGCAGAGGTAAGCTATAATAAAATTATCTTTCTATCAATTGTCTGTATTTTTCTTCAGGTACTAGTCTGGAATTGTTTTTCACATTACTTCAGGTTAGGTTTAGAGGAGGGTCACAGCATTATCACTTAATTAAAATCCATTATTGATTGGTGGGGTTTGAACCCTGGACCTCGTAGACCGAAATCTTACACTCTACCACAAGACCAGCTCGCTCTAATTTTAATCAACGTTAAAAATTGCTTTCAGTGACCCAAACCGTCTCACCATCTAACATTTACTTAGTTTTTGTACTGTATATAACACAGATAGGTAAAACAGGTTAACATGTTGAGTGCGGTTGCACAATGGCCGGCGATGGCCGGTGGCTAATGCGCTGCGAGGTTAAGTGCGCGAAAACATTTAAATTTAGTTTCATCCAAATGAGAGCACATTGTAGCATGTACTGCGTTCTAATCGTTGTGGACATAGTTGAACAAGAACCCAACAGATAACATCAATAAACATAACTGCTATCTGGCGCTCAGTATTGCCAAATGGAGGGGAAAAGCAGGAACGAAAAATCCCAGATATAGCACCAAAAATACCACAAAATAAGAGTTAACCACAGTTTTGAGGTTAGAATGAGTCTTCGAGTGCACACCCTGGTTCTGACCCTATGAGGGGGTTAGCTGCCCCTGCCCTCACAAGCTTATCTGCTTCCTCATTTCCCTGAACACCTTGATTCCAGGGAGTGATAACTTGTTGTTCTTTCCCAACAGGTTCAGACTTTGCTGGCAATTCCCTACCATCTTAGAGCTGATAAGTGACGAGCTCAGTCTTCCAATGGCTGCCTGGCTATCTGAAAGGATAACAATTTCCCTTTTTTGTATCCTCTACTTAGGTTGAATTTGTTACACCTTTCAATAGCCTCAACTTTAGCCTGAAAAACTATTTAGAAAACTAAAGCTATTTAGATTTATTCATAATTAATTGTATTATTTTGTATATTTACCGCTAAATTTCTTCTTGAAAATAGGAAGTTTCTTTTGAAACACCCCATGTAAATACAATTTGTTATTGTTTACACTTGACACTAACATTGCAGGAGTCTGCCCGGCAGGCACCTATGGCTCTGGGAGGGGTCATCATGCTCCGGGACGAAAGGGAGTCAAACCTTGCCTCTCATGTCCTCTCGGCACCTTCCAGCCAAACCCTGGCGAGCTGGCTTGTCTCAGGTAGATCAAAATATAAACATGACTTAGATTTTCGATTTTATAAACGATAAACATCAATAATTTGTAGGGTGTATTATACATTTTATCACGATGATTAGAGTACCTAAAACATAACAAGATTAGTAGACAAACCCAGCCGGTGCTGAAAAACTCTAAAGTAAACATTCAATATTATGATGAATTGTTTAAAACAAGAATAAAAAAATCCCTCCAAAAAAACAAAAACAATTCTTTTTCCTGTCACCATCGCTTTTCCTATTTGCCAAACGTGTATTGCCGGTTTCGCTTGTGCAGACTTGGCCATTGTATTTGCCTACCCTCTATTTGTACTAATTTATATTTCCTTTCTGGGTTTGTGTACTAATCTAGTTATGTTAAGGTACTTTCTCGAACATGAAATCAGAATCAGACTCCAGATCCCGCAAAACGTTGTGAAATTTTTCTTTACTAATTAATTGTGATGGATGTTTGCAAATTATAGCGAATCTGTCACCAACAGAGTGTGATGATGTAAATTACTGATCTCTGGTGAATAAGCAAACTGTTCAACCGAGCCGAACTGGAAAAAAAAAAAACAAATTGTAAACTATGGCATTATGTCAAAGTAACATAAACTAAGGGAGAGTTGTATCACATTCTGTGAGTGGTTTATTTAACTCAGTGTTTTTAAAATATAAAATTCAATTTGCTACATATGTTCCTTATACATTGGATATCTACTTCAATAATACAACTGACCAGTAATATTAAACACCTGACCAGTAAAACACTTAAAATAAATTTTACGTCACACTACATTATTTTGACAAACTTCTCACGCAAGGATTTAGTCCAGAAAACACTATTAGCTGTTTGCCGCCAGCTTATTCAAATGGGGTTTCATTGCCTACTACTGTACTGTAATGAGTTTTAGCGGACACCAATCAGCTGATTATACTGTATTTATAGGTGGCAATCAGCGAAACGGCACACGGAAGATTTCTCAGGTGCCGTTTGACGTCACTAACTGCTGACGTCACTTTGAGGGAACACCAATACCGCAACGATACGGTTCAGAGCCGTCGGCCTCGGTGGTGCAGTGGATAGCGTTGCGGGCTAGTAATCCGAATGTTCCGAGTTCGAATCCCGCCGGCGGCACTTACTTTTTATCAACAATTTTTTCATATCAGCAAGTTTGGTTGGTTTGGTTAGGTTATGACAGTTTAATTTTATAATTAAAAAGTTATAAAATTGAATTTTAGGCAATTATAATTTTATTTTATGAACAAAACTATTTTTAGATTAGTAAACCTTTATTCGATTTTTCCATTATCAGCACGTTTGGTTAGTTTGGTTAGGTTATGACAGTTAAATTTAATAATAGAAAATTATAAAATTGTCTGTTTCTTCAGACGCAGCAGTTAGTGACGTCAGCAGTTAGTGACGTCAAACGGGACCTGAGAAATCTTCCGTGTGCCCCACCGGGCAATCAGTGGTTATAAACAAAAACATAACCTCTCTTAGAGGTTATGACTAGTGTTTTTAAGTCCTTTAGTTGGTGGAAATATATAAGGATTTGTACAGATTTAGTAGTATGGCGTAAACTATCGTACGTAACTCGTTCAAAATGTGTGTACCGGACTCGTATGGTAATCCGTCACACTCATCCGGTAAACACTTATTTTTAGGACTAGTAACTTAATATACTATTTCAGTGAGGTCTTACCAGACTATCAACAGAAAATTCAAATCTATAATATGACAAAAACTTCAGGTTGTTGTACTCTAACTACTTGTGATGTTAACAGTTGTGGTGAAAACAAGACGACCGCTCGGCGAAGGTCCACTAGATCCGAGGACTGCCACCTCCCACCCTCCCCTTGTCTGCCCTCCCCCTGCCACAACGGAGCTACCTGTCTACCCAGAGGCTGGCAGTCCAGCTGTCAATGTCCTACAGGCTTCATAGGTATCGATTATCTTTATTTACATTTAACTCTTTTACTCAGTACAGTTTTAGTTAGTCAGAACTTTCCGTGATTAGTTGCTTTAATTGTACTTCACGCAGAGGTGATGAGGCATTTTAAGTAATGTGGTTATTCAAACCTACTTTAGAAGCACATAACACACCCATAATTGATTATAGAAACAAAAATTAATTTTACCTCTTACTTTTATAACATTCTCTTTATTTGGATTGAATCAGAACAAAATTATTAACTGTACTTATTACGTCAATTATGTAAAAATTTAAATTTGAATACAACATTTAAGTGAACACTGTCGTTTTTGTTGCTAAGGGGTACTTCCAAAAGAACGATTTACTTGGAAGAACCTACAACTTTCCTTACTATTGTGTAAATAACTCTAACCGTTTGCTACTCAAGAATTTACCACTGATGTTGACTGTGATTTGTAACATTTACTACCAATACGATTATTTTCACCAAAAGACTTAATTTAAATTAAATAACCAGTCTTAAGAAAAATTTTGGTAACATTTAACTGTATTTTCAGGGGCTCACTGTGAGATTAGAAGAGATGAATGTCAGTCGCAGCCTTGTCTCCACGGAGGCTCTTGCGTAATAACTGACTCTGGACATGTGTGTTTGTGTGAGCCAGGCTTCACAGGCAACAACTGTCAGGTACTGAGCCAGTGACTCTACCTATGAAGTATGGAGATTACCTGTGTAGCTTCGGTTACTGACTAAGCTCAAATATTTCTCCAGCCAAGACTATTGATTTGCCTAATGATCATGAACGGCAGGGCCATTTTTGAAACATCAACCTTTTTATTGGATCAAACCAGCTACCTTTTGATTGTTCAGTGAGCACTACAACCACTCAGCTACTCAGACATAAGGATAAATTATCTCAAAGCTATCTCGTAATTTAATGCGAGGGGAGTGCGTAATGCACATTTTAATAGGGTTCAAAACATGTCTCCGAGGCTAGACAAATCCAATGCAATACACCATTAGCTTGCAAAGATTGAAAATGAATCGTCCTAAAGAAGATTACCTTTTTGTTACCGTTCGTCCTTCCGCTCGATCATAAGCTTTAGAATGATACATCAGTCGTAAAACTTAATAAGGTAAGATGGCTGAAAAAGGGGCGTTAGATGTCCCTTCTACATGGGATGAGAGAAACCCCTAATCATATTTAGTGCATAGGTAGATTCACATATCACCTTGACCATTGTTATTACATGCTGATTTGTTGTATTTTCCACTTTTCCAGACAGACATAGATGAGTGTGCCTCAAACCCCTGCCTCAATGGAGGAGAATGCACAGATTTGAACGCCTCCTTTAAATGCCACTGTCCTCCTGCTTTTGAAGGTAAATTATTTGAACAAATCTTATTTGAACAAATCTTTTAAATATTAATTTATCAAATATTAAATATTAATCTTTAATAAATGTAATTTAAAACTGTAATGAATAGTAGGAAAGGCAAGCTAGGTCGATAACCTGCAGTTAAGCATTTCATACTAGAAAGTGTCCTGGAAATATAAACACCAAGTTCTTTTTTACTCAATAGCAGATTTGATTACAAATAGACAACGATTTGTAGGGAAAGGAAGTCGGCAGGTCAGAGTAGGGATGTTGATTATACAAAAAAAGTTGAATGTGTTTAGGTTTAGATTATGCTAGGACATGTTAACAGTTGTATGTGATACAATAAGATAATTCAGTTAAAGGGGATTGTGTTAGGGTTTTAACAATCAATAAAATTAGTTATATGGAGTAAGTTTTTGTTTTTGAATGTTGATTTGAAAAGATAATCAGTAATCTAGTTTACTTGTATAAGTGTGTAATTTGTTGAGACATTTGCCTTAGAAGTTGAGGTGTCTACATTAGCCTAGGCCTACAGTATGAATCTTTTAAACTCCTATTTCTACAGCTTCTGAACATACAAGTTAAAGCATTGACTAAGACAAGTACACACCTCATTCCATTATAAAATCTGAAGCCTCTTTTTATGTGTTGTTTTTTTTTTAGGCAATTAGTGTCAACAAATTCAGTTTAATTTCTGGCAAATCCACAACAATTTCAGAGGCTCGAACCTTTTTTTCTTTAAAAGCATCTGAGTTTATTATTATTCCTCAGATAACTAAGTCCTAATTATATTACAAAGGCTTCTTAAGAGCTATGCTTGATGTGTAAAGGTAAAACCGAGGAAAAAATAGTTTGTGCATATCACTAGACATTATCTGATCACAGGTGAGTTATGTGAGGTGGACGTAGATGATTGTGCCACAACCCCCTGTAATGAGGGTAGCACCTGTGTAGACCTGGTAGGCAACTACTCATGCACCTGTGCACCTGGATACACGGGCCGCAACTGCGAGCTCGATCCTTGCCTCAACACTACGTTGTGTCTACACAACGGCACCTGTCACCTTGGCGACAACAGCTCTTTGTCTTACTGGTGAGTGATATAACAGCACCTGACACCTCGGTGAGTCTTTGTCTTACTACTGAGTGGTATAATAGCACCTGCCACCTCGGTGAAAACAGGTCTTTGTCTAACTGGTGAGTGGTATGATACAACCAGCCATCTTGGTGACAAAAGCTCTCTGTCTTACTGGTGAGTGGTATAATAGGCTAATAGCACCTGCCACCTTGGCAACAACAGCTCATTGTCTTACATGGTGAGTGGTATAATAGCACCTGCTACCTTGGCGATAACAGCTCTTTGTCTTACTGGTGAGTGGTATAATAGCATCTGCCACCTTGGCGACAACAGCCCTTTGTCTTACTGGTGAGTGGTATAATAGCACCTGCCACCTTGGCGATAACAGCTCATTGTCTTACTGGTGAGTGGTATAATAGCACCTGCCACCTTGGTAATAACAGCTCTTGGTATAAAAGCACCTGCCACCTCGGTGAAATCAGCTCTTTGTCTTACTAGTAGTTACTAGTGAGTGATACAATAGCACCTGCCACCTTGGCGACAACAGCTCTCTGTCCTACTGGTTTTCTTACTGGGTGTCTTTTATTCTGGTTGTATTAGTGGGATTTTAACAGGGAAGCCAAACAAAAAATGTTGGTTGGTAGAGTTTGTCCCATTTTGCTGGTCAGCCCAGTCAGTAACAAGTCGCTTGATATCAGTAGAGATAAGAACGTCAGATTCTTAAAATAATGACAATAATGATAGTATTTTTTGCCAGACCTTCTTGAGTAATTATTGATAATTTGATTCTAAGGTGTGAGTGTGAGCAAGGGTTCACCGGGAAGCATTGTGAAGAGGAGTTAGACTTTTGTACTCCATCCCCCTGTCAGCACAACAGTTCTTGTGTTGGTAAACCTGGGAGTCAAGACATCCAGTGTGTCTGCAAACCTGGTTTCATCGGGGCACATTGCGAGACTTGTAAGTTTTCTCAGGAGTATTGTTAAATGTTTTCATCTATCAAAGATATATTTTTCTATCAGCCACAGGTTGGATTTTATTTAACAGAAACCTGAGTGGGTTAACAGAAATTATTTTTAAGGGATAAGTTAGGGCGCAGCTGGCTTACGTGAGAAAATTAGAGTCTAGGGTAGGGACTAATAGATTTACAATGATGACTGGTCACAAAACCTAATAGTCTTCATCACTCATCATGACTCTTCATGTTACAGGATTATCGACCTTAATAACACCCTTTATGGCTACAAATTGTCATATTATAGTGTGAATAAACACTGTGGAGATGTATTTACTATCATTTATCTATAATGTAACAAATTGGTTCTTGCTCCAAAAAAATGCTGCTTGATCCAATATCAACTTGAAACCATCGTAAACATGGTGACCAGCTTTTAGCGAATTTCCCATATAGGGAATAAGCTATTACCGTAGTACTCATGGTAAGACCTGGACCCGGGACCGTTTTTTTTTTTAGTTTTGAGGTCCCTAGAGGCCAAAAACACCATCCGTTCAAATTCATATATATATATATATATATATGTGTCCGTTAGCGCGATAACTCGAGCAAAAATGATCCGATTTTGATGAAATTTGGTACAAACGTGTAAACCTACGTTTATTCGAACGAGTTCGCGAACCAGCATGATCGGACCATGAGAACAAGGGTTTATGGGGGCTTTTATGGGGTAAAAATGGGTTTTTCCCATTTTTGACCCAAAAAACATAAAATTTTGCAATTTCTTTCCAAACAATTTTGTAGAGCTTAAAAAAACAAATAGTTTAGTATATTGAAGCGTTATAATGCGCCTAATGGTTACGGAGAAAATTCCAAAAAATTGTAAATTTAAAATTCTCATGTTATTCTTATGGAGAATAAGTAAACTGTTGTAGTTTGCTTGTTTATTAACATGTTTTGCCCAAATTTGGAAAATGTTTTTATTTCTTACTAACTATTAACATTTTACATAAAAAAACACTTTTACCCTCCCTGTTGCAGCAAACCTAAGTATGTGTTAAACTGATTCTATTTAAATAGGGAATAAATGTGATATTTTTAAGGAGATATTTTAGTGTAAATCCAATCAGCCAAATGGAAATTCGCTTAGTCTGCAGGTTTGCTGCGGCGGGGGTATTTAAACTTAGGACATTCTTTTAATAATAGCCTTAAAGCTAGGGTACTGTAGCTTACTGGATACTTAAAAAAACACAACTAAACCAAGTGTATTATTTAACATTGTGACAAGCTGAAGACTAAATTAGCCATGCAGCAACAACCCTGCATACTTAGGGAATTTATATTTACTTGATTTGTTTTCACTAAAATATTTCCTTAGACAAAACATTTCAGATTTATTCCCTATCTAAGTAACAATAGGTTTAACGAATACTTAGGTTTGCTGCTACATGGGAGGAAAAAATTGAAATCTTTGTTAAATGTGAATTTTTAAATACAAATTACTATGGAAAACGTAATTTGCAAAATTGTATCTATAAACAAACAAACTGCAACAGATGACCTTTTCTCTATGACTATTACATATTATCAATTATCAATTACATAAGATGGGGACACCACTATGTGCGTATTTTAACCCAAATATAAGTGTAGGATGAGTGGCGCGATCTTGTAGTCTTGTTAGCGACTAAGGCCGACATATTTCTTAGACACAGCTGTTAATTAATAGCCCAAACAGCTAATGACAACTAAGGGACCTACAGTTTATAGTGGAATCCGAACCACATTCTTGCCTTGGTATTAACGAATTGGTCTAATTATCAGGATATTACTGCGGATAGTCGTAGTACTCACTAGTGCGGATGTTAATCCACACCAGGGTGTATCGCATCCACAATGCATCTATATAAATATCCACAATTTGTGCCCTCCTAGTAGCTGGATTACAGGATGTCGCCACTGCCCCAGTCATAGGAAATTTAAAAGAACAGTTTTTGTGTAAATTTCCTCTAAACCTTAAATTGTACAACTGCTCTTCAATATACGAATTTAATTGTTTTTTAAGCTAGCTTCACAATAAACAATAATGAAATTTAAATTTTTGTTTAAAAATATTTTTTTTTTATGTCAAAACCCTATACCATTTATTGTTCTTGTTAACATATGTTTTATTTACATTTTATTTCTAACATGTGTTCAAATTATTCTTTTGTTTACTTGTTGAATTGTTTATGTTTACTTACAGATTGTGATTTAATAAAAACTTACTTTATATTTTCTTATACAAAATGTGAACTTTTATTAGTAAAATTAGTGGAATCAACATTTTCAATCTCTATGGAAAAGCGATTCTGTATTATATAAACTTTTAAATCCCTCTTGATTAGCACTGTAAATGTCAGTGCATGTGATGTGTCAAAATAGAATCTCAAAACCACCAAAATTTTGAATAGGTTTTGAATACAAGATCAAGAAGGCGTTAAAATCCATGGAGGGAGAAAAGGGTACGCTGCCAAATAAAATCCAAAGGCTTGTAATGCAACTGAGGCAATCCCCGAATTCAACTGGTACATCAGCATACCACTTAATGTTTGGAAGGAGTGTACGAACAAACCTCGCAATAATTGTTCCAAACTTAGAACCGAACAAATTTCAGAACAAGGGACTCCAAGTCGGTATTAAAAGGAATTTCAAAGTTGGAGATAAGGTTCAAGCGCGGGTATATGTCAATGGATCATCCAAGTGGTACTCGGGCTATATAACTGAAAAGCAAGGACATGTAATGTACGTAGTTCAGCTGGAAGATGGGCGAATAACTAGAAGACATGTTGATCAGCTGATTCTTCGCAGAGTGCCTCAGCACAGTAAATAGAGGAGGAGGTGTTAACATATGTTTTATTTACATTTTATTTCTAACATGTGTTCAAATTATTCTTTTGTTTACTTGTTGAATTGTTTATGTTTACTTACAGATTGTGATTTAATAAAAACTTACTTTATATTTTCTTATACAAAATGTGAACTTTTATTAGTAAAATTAGTGGAATCAACAGTTCTCATTACTGGATCAAACTCATTCAAGTGTATCCAGCCCAACACATGGTTAATTTAACAAGATGGGTGAAGTACTGAACTTTTTACAAATGTATTGGTAATGCTGTAACTTTAACACTGAAGTAACAATTGTGATTTCTTAAAATGTTTTGTGCTGTTTACAGATGCTCCTTCAAACTATACCCTGACTTTTCCTACTTCGGGTACCACAAATTATGTTAAAGTAAAAGGACCGGCTGGGAATTTGGAAGAGGTAAGACAATTTATTGCTAATATTTTTATTCTGACAATGAAAGTATATATTTTCTACCTCTAAAATAAGTTAACTGCTTCATTAGTGCTTCATAATTGACAAGTACCATAGTATTTTAGGTACTTTAGGTATATCCAATCCTAAACATCCATAATGTTCTGTAAAAAATATGTTAAATGAGGGCATGGCTGGTCTAGTAGGTGGAATGTGGGACTTCTGGGTTGATATCCCGTTAATTGTCAACAGCTTTTGGTTAAGTTATTACAGTGACCCTCACCTTGTGGTCCATATTAAGCTCTTGATCCACTCTCTGTAATATATAATTCCCTCCACTTGTTTAAATGTAGCATCTAGTAATTTATTACCTTTTCTTTATATGTATATTAAAAGGTGGATTAAATGGACCTCTTTATCTTTTTTTACATTTTTCTAAAAGGTAATTAATATGAAATACTTATACTTTATACTTTTTAAACAATATTTTAGAGTATATTTGGTTTATCTGTTTGAAATTGCAGGTCAGTGTTTGCCTATGGGTGAGAACTCAGGATCATTTCAACTATGGCACAATACTCTCCTATGCAACCCACGATCATGATAATACATTGACTCTCACTGACTACAATGGGTATGTTATTATTCAAGTTACTTGCCAGTTCCTTCATGGGTGTCTTTTATTTGAAAACGCGATCAGTGACTCTTTTTCAGTGAATTTTTTTTCTGAGTATTGAAACATTTTACAAACAATTTTATACATATACTAATACCAAAAGGTATCAAAACCATGTATAATCAATAAAATAGTACATAAAATAAATAAAAACTCTTACTTTTAATTTTTATAAAATATATAGCAAACAAAAACAACAACACCATAGGTGACACACGGAGCTGGGCTCCATGCTAAGCAACTCTTCAGGCTTCAACTGATTTATAGGGGTTTTGCGGAGGAGGTTTGAGAGCAAAATCATGTTCACTCGGTTCTTCGAAAGAGGCAAGTGAGGTACTGTTACTCTTAAAACTGCCGACTAGCAATAACACATATTTTTCTATAAAAACAAACGCGCCCGGAGGAAAACTCTGTGGTGTTACCTATGAAGGGTTAACACTATGTAAATACTTAAATTTCCATTTCATCTTTAAATCTAACTTTAGTCCAGGAGCAAACTGCACATATCCAGCTTCCGTGGGATTTTTTGTGAAGGGAATGTGTGACTATGTGGAATCTCTTTATTATATGTCACATAATGGTGTAGTACCGGGTGTTTACCCTCAAATTACGGGGTTTGGTTTTTATGACGTCTTAAATCCAAGATGGCCGCCATGTGTGACATCTATTCATTTAATTGATAATAACTCTTTCCAGAGTAAAATAATCGAATTTTAATTTATACCATTGAGTTCAGCTCAAAAAATCAAACAATTTGGTGTTTTGAATCATTGCTCTATGACCATTGGTTACCGAGATATTGAAGGTGGAAAACACAGAACATTGTCCCCAAGCAAGACCCCACTACCCCCATGTTATCCTTATGGGGAAAAAATAAAATTGTATATCTAGCTTATTACTCAGCATATCTTAATAATAATTGGTATATGGCTTCATTTAGTAGAGATATACTTGATTATGGCCTAAAATCCCCCATTTTTACATTTCTGTGGCAGCAAACCTGCATACTCACTTCCCATGTTATTCTTATGGAAAATGTTGTGCATGCTTGTTTATGAACATACGTGTTGAGAAATGTTAATGTGTGGCCCCATTTTAATTATTTATTGAAGCATTTGCAATTCGTTGAGTATACAGGTCTGCTGCCACGGGGGTATTGTAGCAATAAAAAAATCTCACAAATGATAGGTATAAAATAAAATAGACTATAGTTATGGGTCATATGTAATTTCTTGTGATTTTGAATTAAGCAATTGTTGTATGAGTGGTGGTGATAGATAGGTAATGACATATAGAATCGTGTACTACCGGGTGTTTTGTCTGAAAGTGTGACCTAGCTAGTGTTTTTGGCCCGCCGTCTTGGATCCACCATGTTGGATACTAATACAAATTTTTAAATCTAATGCTGGTGTTGTGACTCATTAACTAGATGTTTACGCTAATTCCAATTCCGAAAACCGTTTGTAAATATAGTTTTTCGTTTCGAAGATATATTGAAAAGAAAACTCCCCCCCCCCCATACATTTCTTACGGACGTTTCGTACTTTGATTATTTTTCAGATTATTTTTCTCATATATCCAGTTCTTATTATTGCTTGTAATTCGTTCTATTATTAAAGTATTTAGTGATGTAAGATCTTTTATATAAGCTATCGATCATTAAAATCGGACGAGTTAGAGTTGAGCTATGAACCACAACACAATATTAAATTTAACTTTTTCCAAATCCGTTTTTATTAAAATATTTATATCTCGGGTTGTTAATACGTCAAAGGGTTCATTCTAGTCTCAAATTACTCAGTAAATGGTTGGTTTAAAATTTGATTAATCACTAAATGAAATCTGACTAATTGAAAATTAATCATGGACCTTTATTTATTATTAATAATTATTTTTATTTTGAAATTTGTCTTTGGTTAAAGCAATTAAAGACATGCAGGGCTGGTCATCAGGGTTACAACATTTGTTTGGTGTCAGTACAAAGTAAATTATGTGTGATGAGGCATATAAAGACATATAAGGCATATAAGAGGTTCCACGTCTAAAAATTGTAACACTGATGACCTTACGAAACGTCCGTAAGAAATGTATAAAGGAGAGTTTTTATTTGAATATCTCTTCCAAACGACAAAAGATATTTAAAACATATTTCAGCATTGAAATCAGCGTGAAAATCTAGTTGATAATGATGTGTCACAACACTAGCATTGCATAAAAAAAGTAATTAATATCCAATATGGCGGATCCAAGATGGCGGCCGAAAACACCAGCTTGGCCACACTTTCAGACATGTCATTACCTATCTATTGCCAACAATCATACAATTGCTTAATTCAAAATCCTACAAAATTACATATGCCTCACAACTATGGTCTAATTTATTTTATTTTCTAATACCTGTAATTTGTTTATAGTTACAATACCCCCGTAGAAGCAGACCTGTATACTCAACGAATTGCAAATGCTTCAATAAATAATTAAAATGGGGCCACACATTAACATTTCTCAACACGTATGTTCATAAACAAGCATGCACAACATTTTCCATAAGAATAACATGGGAAGTGAGTATGCAGGTTTGCTGCCACAGAAATGTAAAAATGGGGGATTTTAGGCCATAATCAAGTATATCTCTACTAAATGAAGCCATATACCAATTATTATTAAGATATGCTGAGTAATAAGCTAGATATACAATTTTATTTTTTCCCCATAAGGATAACATGGGGGTAGTGGGGTCTTGCTTGGGGACAATGTTCTGTGTTTTCCACCTTCAATATCTCGGTAACCAATGGTCATAGAGCAATGATTCAAAACACCAAATTGTTTGATTTTTTGAGCTGAACTCAATGGTCTAAATTAAAATTTGATTATTTTACTCTGGAAAGAGTTATTATTAATTTAACAAATAGATGTCACACATGGCGGCCATCTTGGATTTAAGACGTCATAAAAACCAAACCCCGTAATTTGAGGGTAAACACCCGGTACTACACCATTATGTGACATATAACAAAGAGATTCCACATAGTCACACATTCCCTTCACAAAAAATCCCACGGAATACAGTTTGCCCCCCGACTACTTTGTACAGCTTAAGATTTACAATTGGGTTTTGCTATTATCTATAACATTTTAAAACCACAATTTTCTCCAGTTTGGTGTTGTACATCAATGGTGAGCGGGTAGTCACTGACATCACAGCCAATGACGGCTACTGGCATCACATCTGTGTAGAGTGGACTTCAGCTGATGGTCTATGGAATGTCTACAAGGACGGGACATTGGAGGATGGAGGAACTGGACTGGCAAACAACAGCTACATACCAGGTAATGTGAACAGACAGTTTGAATATCTTTAACCACAGAAATGCCAAAAAAATTTCAGCATTCATTAAGTGTTATGTGTTTAACAGTTTGTTTATAACTGTGTGGCCTAATGTTCTAATATTTTTTTATTAATTATTGATTGTCAATTATATTGCTCACACACCTTTTTCATAACATTTATTTTTAATGACGAGAGCAACATAGTCAAATGGCAACAACCATTGTTTTCTTAGTGTATTATAGGAATTTATCAATCGTTATAAGTGGGAAAGCTCAAAGCTACATAGTCAATATTTTAATGTTGATTTGAATGATAAGTCGTTACATTTGCTACTTGATTGCGCGTCTAACCAGGTGTACCAAACTTGTGAACTGTGATTTGGTATATCTAACCAGTTCAGCAAAATCACTAAAACTTGTCTGCTAATGAATTTACAATTGGGCATTATTCTATTTTCATTTTTTCCTTTGGATATTACAATTTCTCTCAAATTAAAAACAATATCCTTATAACCGGGAATAGCTTTCAGGCGCAAATGCACCAAATTAAGTATAATATTTAAATGGATGTTGTAATCTGTACATTATACATTACCTCTTATTGGACCCCATGGTGGTTGATTTGTCTAATTGAACTTTGTTGATACTTTTGTAAAGGCCACTATCCCATGTAAACAGTGTTGAGTGTGTAGGAGGAGGAGTGATGGTGTTGGGGCAGGACCAGGATCTTGTAGGAGGAGGGTTCAACGCAGCAGAGTCGTTGGTTGGCCACCTGACAGGGCTACACCTGTGGCGGGGCCGCCTAGGTGGGGACAAGGTGCGCCGCCTAGCCACTCTGTGTCAGGCGCAAGAGGAGGGCGACCTGTACAGCTGGGGACAGTTTCATCAAGGCGTTCACGGCCACGTAGAGGTGACTGACATGATTGATTGTACGTTCTTTGTGTTTCTTGAGTATATAACACTGGTACCTTAAGGTTACTCACAGTTACTTTCAGTGATATTGCTCGGAAAACTTAAAACTTATCTCTCAACCCAACTTATTTATTGGTAACCATTCACTTCTAAAGAAAGTAAACAATGTTAGGGTTATTAAATGACGCGCAATGATGTGGATATGGAACATTTTATTGTCTATTATAGTTACTACACAACAGCACACACATGAAGTAACGAGGACATTACATAACCTCACAACCGACTCCGGACATAGGAAGAATAATACATTCATTCTTAGAAGAAGAAGAAGTCATATAGGCCTAAGTTACATAGACACTTGATAGCCTAAAGATTGGAGCATGTACTATATGACAAGAATATAAATTTATATACTCTCTAACACCACCCCTTAAATTTATATTCAGCAAAATATGTAAAACACACAGAAAAATTTACTAGGCCCCTTTAAGAAAACAATATGTTAGGCCCTAAACTAACTATGCCTAACAATTCCAAAATGTTGTACACAACTCTCATGTTTAACTTTTGTTAGGGGCTTGGTCAGAACATCTGCTAACATTTCTTCAGAAGGTAGATACTTAATACAAACAACCCCTGATTCAACATGTTGTCTCAAAAAGTGATACCTAATATCTATGTGCTTTGATCTAGCATTAGTTACAAAATTCTTTGTCAACTGAATAGCACCTTTGTTGTCACAATATACATCAAATGGGTTCAGAGCACTTTTTGGATCAATTTCTGAGATTAACTGTCTTAACCATAACAATTCTTGAACTGTAAATGACAATGCCATATACTCTGCCTCACAAGTGGACAATGCTACTGTTCTCTGTTTTTTGCTGAACCAAGATATTAAACTACCAGAACATTTTAACAAACAACCTGTAACAGAATATCTTTCATTTATTTTGTTTCCCCAATCTGCATCACAATAGGCTATTACATTTTTATTCCCTTCCCTTGAAAATTCCAATTTAAAATTAACAGACCCTTTTAAGTACCTAAAAATTCTTTTAACTGCTAACCAGTGTAACTTACTGTAAGAGTTATTGAATCTACTTAATAAGTTGGTAGCAAAAGAAATGTCTGGTCTTGTTATTTGTGACAAATACAGTAAACTACCGATAGCTTCTTGGTATGGAACACTCACCATGTCCGTCTCTTCGTCACTTACTGTCGTGAAGTCCAAGCCTGGATCAAGTGGAGTAGTTACTGGCTTCGCTTCGCTCATACCGAATCTCTGTAGCACTTTCTTGGTGTAGTCTTCTTGAGAGATCCAAATTTTTCCAGCTTCTCTGTTTCGAGTGATGGTCATGCCGAGACAATGGTTGACAGGTCCAAGGTCTTTCATATCAAAGTGAGTCTTGAGAGTACTCTTCGTCTTTTCCATGGATTTCTTGTTGTTCGAGAAGAACAGCATGTCATCGACATATAGAGCAATAACTTGTAGGTTATTTCCTTGTCTTGAATAGTAAACACACGGATCAGCTTGAGATCTCGTAAAGTTCAATCCAGATAGCACTTCGTCTATTTTTCTGTTCCAATTTCTTCCAGCTTGCTTCAATCCGTAGACGGCTTTCTTCAATTTCCAAACGTTTCCATCCTTTGAAGTAGCGATCTCTTTGGGTGGTATGACATAGACGTCTTCATGAAGATCTCCGTACAAGTACGCTGTTGTCACATCCATGTGATCTATCTCCAAATCTTCTTTGGCTGCCAAGGATATGAGGTATCGTATGGATGAATATTTCACCACAGGTGAGAACGTTTCTTCGTAATTTATCCCTTTTATCTGGCTACATCCTTTGATTACCAGTCTCGCCTTGAGAGTTTCTTCTTGGTTTTCACATGCAGGCTTAATTTTTAGTACCCATTTAGTTTTCAATGGTTTTACACCTATAGGTAGGCTAGTTTCTTCAAAGGTTTTGTTTTTTATCAAGGAGTGTATTTCTTTGTCAATACTTTGTTGCCACTGTTTTGATCTTTCACCACTTAGGGCTTCTTCTATGGTGATTTCTGTATCATCATTTTTTTCACTGTAGTATATTACATGATCAGGCCAAGTTTTCGGTTTCTTCTGTCTAGCAGATCGTCGTGGTGCTTCACTTGGTACGTCTTCATTTTCAAAACCAAGAAAATCTTCATCATCAGTATCTTCATCTTCATTTGGGAGATTATCTTCTGCATGATGTTCGTTCTCTTCAGGTCCATCTTCACTTGACTCGATTTGTGCTGAAAGGTTTACGTTGTTCTCCTGAACTTGCTTATTTAACTTTTGACTGGTCTCAGGATCCTCTTCTTTTTGGTTTTCCAAAAATATTACATCCCTAGAGATTGTAATCTTGTTTGTCTTAGGGTCGAGAAGTCGATATCCCTTTGTTGATGCACAGTAGCCTACAAAAATAAATTTTAGTGACTTTGGGTCCCATTTCTTTCTTTGCGTTTTTGGTATCTGTACCATGGCGTTGCATCCGAATACTCTCAGGTGAGCTAGACTGGGTTTTCTCCCATGCCATATTTCATAAGGTGTTCTATCTCCAAGGATTGCTGAAGGCGAGCGGTTTGTTAAGTACACAGCTGAAGAAATAGCCTCAGCCCAATATATTTTAGGCAAGTTTGCATCAAACAACATTGTTCGAGCTTTTTCAACTAATGTTCTATTGGCTCGCTCCGCGACTCCATTTTGTTGAGGGGAGTAGGGAGTCGTAAGTTGGTGAACAATTCCTTCAGAAGAAAGATAGTTCTTCATTTCTTCATTGACGTATTCGCCACCATTATCCGATCTGATTTTCTTTATTTTCGCTCCCGTTTGTTTCTCGACCATGGCTTTGAAACTTTTGAAGATTTTTGTCACCTCAGATTTTTCTTTGAGAAAATACACATACATGAGTCTTGAGAAGTCATCAATGAATGTCAAGAAGTATCTTCGTCCGCCGACAGATGCAGTTTCCATAGGTCCACAGAGATCTGTATGTACAAGGTCTAGAATATTTTCAGAGTACATTTTGCTCCGTTTGAAAGGTAAACGTGTCTGTTTTCCCATTATGCAAAGCTCGCATGGATCTTCCACTACAATATTGTCGTCTAAGCCTGTGGATATTTTAGACAGCTTTAACATACCTTTCCTGTTCAGATGGCCTAATCTACGATGCCATAAAATACCTTTATTCTCAGAATAAAAACAGTTTTTTATTTCTGTTGTATTCATACAATAAATTCCATTTTTTAGATGAGCTGTTGCAACTAAATCACCTGTCTCATTATTATGAACATAACCCCCACTTTTGTCAAAGGTTACAGTGTGTCCCTTCTTAACTATCTTACTCACTGATAGTAGGTTAACTGCCGAACTTGGTATGTGAAAAACATCATTGGCTTCTACTTCTACAACTTCACTACCATTATATAGCTCAAGATCTACAGTGCCAGAACTATCTGCAACTAGATCTGAACCATCTGCTGAAACTATTGTACAGCTATTTGGTTTTAGATTGCTAAGCTTATTTACATCGTTTGTAATGTGCGTGGACGCACATGAATCCAAGTACCATAAACCTTCATTATGGGTACGCCGATGACTGTCTACAGCCAGAAAAGCATTTTTCTTACTTGTATCATGGCTATTTTCATGTTTGTACTCATTAGGCCTACTTTTATTGGGCCTATCTGAGAATCTAGATTCATTAGGTCTAAACCTACTGTTTTGGTTAGGCCTATTAGATTTATTGTTACTACCATTTGATTGAGGGCAATTCTTAGCTAGATGGTTAGGCTTATTGCACCTAAAACATTTTAGCGGTGTCGACTTATTAGACCTAAACTGTTTATTGGCATAAAGAGCAGATTCACCGGTCCAGTCCTCGGATTTCACATCCTGAAGGAGCTTTACTTTGATGGAATCACCAGTGATAGGTGTTCCCGAATTTTCTAATGCCATGATCATCGGTTTGTAGTGATCAGGCAAACCTGCGAGTAGCAAGGTACCAATCCACTCCTCACTAACATTAAATTTCATTTCATTTAACTTAAAAGCTGTTGTTATGATTCTATCACAATAATCATCAATAGACTTACATTTTTCAAGCGTGGTTGTGACTAAGGTTTTTAGTAGGCCAACTTTCCTTGTTAAGCCAGAATCCTCAAAGGCCTTTTCCAGGGCGTTCCAAGCTTCTGCAGCCGTTCTAGTGTCTCTGATGTGAGAATAATTAATCTTATCCACAAATAAAACTATTCTTGAATGGGCTTTCTTGTCTTTTTTCTTCCAGTTATCACTGATGGGGTCCGGTGGGGTTTCCTCTATGACATCCCAAAGGTCATCATGTACGAGATAGGCCTTCATTGCAAATTTCCAAGTTGAGAAGTTTTCCCTCCCCTGCAGTTTTTCAACAATAGGTAGACCGGAAGAAGCACTCATTTTTTGTCGGTACTGTCTTCAGAACAAAGAACAAAAGTCTCACGTAGTCGCACACGGCACAACCTATGTGTAGGTTAGGATCAATCGTTACTTGCGAACCCGTGAACAAACTGATATCACAATGTTCCAGTTATTAATATCCATATCCACAAACGGCCTCTGGGCCCATAACCATTGTTAGGGTTATTAAATGACGCGCAATGATGTGGATATGGAACATTTTATTGTCTATTATAGTTACTACACAACAGCACACACATGAAGTAACGAGGACATTACATAACCTCACAACCGACTCCGGACATAGGAAGAATAATACATTCATTCTTAGAAGAAGAAGAAGTCATATAGGCCTAAGTTACATAGACACTTGATAGCCTAAAGATTGGAGCATGTACTATATGACAAGAATATAAATTTATATACTCTCTAACAAACAATAACAAAAAGGTTTAGTAGCGTGGTAGATATTAATTATGAACTTAAATACAAACTCTGGTATGGTAAAATCACGTTGAACCCTAACTCCACCAATGGGAATCTGTCTACTAAAGACTGGTGAGTCGGTGGCTCAGTCGGTAGCGTCGCGGACTTTGGGCCCAAGGCAGTGATGTCGTGGGTTCGGATCCTGGTCACTGCCACTAAAATTTACCAGTACACCTGTACACCTTTGTACTGTACCGGCTCACTCCTTGCTTTGCTGTAAACGATCCACGCACGGGCGCTTAGTGTATGTGGACGGGCAAATGCAAGGTTAAAAGAGGCCGCCAACCTCTTTAAAAAAAAAAAACCTCTAGCTGCTAGTCACAAAATGCCCACCTTGGTCAAGCACATGAGTCTACCAAAATCAACAGCAAAAACTTTGCAAACATGCAAACATGCAAAACTTTCCCAAATACCCCCTCTTTATAATTTGATCCTACTTATCAACCTATAATACCAATAATAACCTGAAACAAAACCTGTAACTAAACCTGTTACCTAACCTGTTACTAAAATCTGTTAGTGTTTACAGAAATCATAGTGGTCAACTTCTAATAATTTATTTTAGGCTTTTAGAGTAGCGGTTATTGGCTTAGAAATAAACTAAGGGAGATGGTATAATGGTTAGCTCATAGTGTGTTAGTTCAACACAACTAACTTACCAATACTCATAAAAAAATCGTTTTATGAAAATAAAAATATTTTAATTTAACCGACTGCATTTTTAATGAAAGGTTTAATAGGCTAGAGAAATGTCTGCAATTCTGAAGGTAGCCAGGAATTCTGTTAATTTATGTGTTTAGTGTAAAGCTTTTTTTTCTTGTCCCAAAGTGGACAGTTTTCCCATTGAAGTAAGCGTGCTATCCTTACCAAAATATTTTGAACCTTTAATCCATCCTTCAAAATTTATAGATCTTTGGCGTGTTCCAGGTCGGTCCGCCGACTTTGTGCCAAGGATGTAGCAAACTGTCTCCTCCACCGTTCACATCAATTGAATTGTCAGATACTGGGGATATCGCCACCTACACTTGTGCTCCTGGCTACTCTTTCAAGTTCTACTTGAGCAAAGAAATCTCAAGAACTGAGAGAAAGTGCTTAGTCAGTGGAGATTGGGAGGGCAAACCTCCTGTTTGTAGCAGTGAGTATAGTGTAATGCATTAACTAGCAATGTTTGTTGTATACCAACCGAGATGTGTAATGGATTTTATTATTGTACCTGTGATGAGAAAGCTGACAAGAGTTGCTTTCATTCTGTTTTTGGAAGTTGGGGAATTCACCTTGCATAATGCTGCATAGCATACATTTTACACAGAATCAAATACTATTGTCAACAAGCTATTGGACTTAAATTTCTTACACAAGATTCAAATGTAATACTATATCACTTACCTTTTCCCATAAAAAAACACTTCCCAGATCAGCAGCATGGCTCAAGAACTTGTATTCAAATTGGAACATGTTTCAGAAAGGAACTGTGGCTTCCCAGGATACTTCCCAGCTGGTTGGATAATAGGAAGATCCTATTTCTATGAGAGCAAGATAGAATATGTTTGTCAAAATGGATACCGGCTTGTAGGTGATAAGACAAGAACCTGCCAAGCCAATGGGACTTGGAGTGGTGATATTCCATCTTGTCAAGGTATTATTTAATTTGTTAATGTACCAATACATTAAACTACAATCTTTATTCATTGGGTTTATCATTAACTTTGGATACTACAAGTAGCTAGACTTGTAAAGGACATTAAAATCCAATCCAATATGGGTCAGTGACGTAGCCAGGATTTCAAAATAGGGGGGGTCGGACCGGGGGGGGGGGTCTGGGGGCCCCCAGGTAAAAGGAGGTCCAGGAAAAATTTTAAAAATATAGGCCCTAAAATGGTATTTTTTTAGCTCTCTTGGCATTGAAAATTATCAACCCCAACGTCAATACAGTATGATTACATAATTTTTCATTTAATTTAACAAAAAAATATTATATTTAAGACCGGAAGGGGGGGGTCCAGACCCCCAGGACCCCCCCCCTGGCTACGTCACTGTATGGGTGTTTCATGTTCAGTTCAAATGTCCTCAATGTTTAACCAGGCCAGAATTGGTATGAGTAGCCACATAAGTAACAGGTATGAGTATGACCCTCATAAAAGGGTCTGAAGTGTGTTAGAACTGTTAGAAGCAATCTGCTGAACATTTTTATAAGTTCTAAAATTATTTGGTTCAACTCCATTTTATTTAACTGATAAGTTTTGAGGTTGAATTTATTTTGCTATGCATGAACTCATCTTTACCTTATAAAGCTCAAAAATAAAATACACAATCCCAATGGTGAAAACACAGTATAACCTCATGCCATTCCCTTCGCAATTTATGTTTTTCAAAATAAAATGAACCTTTCTTTGGATCAACCCAAAACCCAACATTAATACCACTGTTGTGTGCTCCGTTTTTATCTTATGTCTACAAAATATATTCTAGAAACATGTATCTAATGGTAAACTTATCTGTTTAGGAGGAGACTGTCCAGATGTTTTTGTCCCTGATCATGGAATGATGTGGGGAAGTATTGAGGATAGCTTCAGACTGGAGTTTGAGTGCAAATCTGGATATGAACTTCATGGAAGTGAAATAATCACTTGTCTCTCCAACAAAACATGGAATCACGACCCTCCAAAGTGTTTACCAATAACATGCAAATACCAGAACAAGTAATTCTGACTAACTGTATGATTTTACAATAGGTAGTATTTCTAATACTCTAATTTAAAGAGATTTAGTTTCTTTATAAACACTATACCTGAAGTAGTTTTACTTTCTCCCCCTAACCCATAGTACTCAAACATTTTTGAGTTTGAGTTTTGAGTGGATATATCCGTTTTAGGCCCCCCTGAACCCAAAAAAGTGGTTTTCGATGTGATGTCTGTCCGTGTGAGTGTGTGTGTGGATGTCTGTATGTGTGGATGTGTACAGAGCTACAGACCAAACCTGTTGTCCGATTTTGATGAAATTTAGTACCGTATTTAGGCACTAGTTCATGGTATCTTCAGGCGTTTTCTTTTTCATTTTTTTAAAATTTTGATTTTTAATGGCAATTTTACCATAAAACTTATAAAATAACGGGAAAATCATAATTTCTTGAAAATGGCCTGAACGATTTTGATGAAAATTTAGTATGTTGCAGTCCTTTAAAATTTGAACAAATTTTACAAATCCCATTTTCGTATAAATTACGATTCAAAAGTTCCCTATAGCTATGACTAGGACTATAACTTATGTTATTTTTCCATAAGAAAACCATAAAATTACAAAATTGGATTTTAGAAAAAAACCGGTTTTGATTAAAGTTAATGTGTTTTGGTCCTTATTATTCCAAACAAAATAGTACAACCCCCCTTTGCTGAAAAATTATGCCTTAAAAGTTATTGCAACTTTTGTGATTTTCCCTGTAAAATATAGTTACTCCCCCACTTACCCATGATAAAGGTTGTTGGCAAGCTAATGGGAGAAACTATGTGTCAGATTGCTGATACTGTTTATTTCATCATGGTTTTCAGGCATAATTTGGAAAGCATTATTGTAAGCATGCCTGTTCATTGTTACTAGGTACTTAATGTACAGCTTAAATCAAGGCAACTATTTTATTAGTTAGTAGTACAACATCAAAACAGTTTAAAAGCCAGTGGTCATAAATGGCAACATTTCTGCTATTAACAGTCCTTATATTTTTGTTGGAAGATGAATGAATGTACAATAGTATATTACACTAGAAGGGCAGAAGTGTGTGTTTATGGTGGTGTTGAATGTTGCAGTGTGACTGACGCAGTAGTGTTGTCTGGCCCTGGTTTGTTAGAGGCTGGACATTATCAGTTGACCAGTGTTGTGCAACTCAGTTGCAAGGAAGGTTACATCTCCAACACCAGTCTACACAACATGAGCTGCAACTACGGAGGCTGGAGTCCGCCACCTGTAGATCTAGGATGCATATCAGTTGTGTGTCTTCCATTGAACATCACAAACGGTTCTCTCATCGCTGAGTCTTACACTCCAGGTACATTTTAATTAATGATAGTTCATCACAAAAAGTGATAACAGTTTATTTGACTAAAGTATAACTTTCTGGATGTATTGTTGTTTGGTGAGACACTTTTGTATCAGAAGAAATATCAATTGGACTTTTTGTGGGTTTGGCTTTCCCATGGTGCAAAATATCAATAAATGCTACAGCCAAAGTAATTTATTTCAAACAATAAAAATAATTATCTGGTGGGAGTTTAGAGTGCACTAATTACATTCTGAATGTATAAAATTAATTTTGAAAACCTGTATTCTTGATCCAATATAAATTGTTATCGTCATGTCGATTACTTACATCAACATCAGAGATAAGATTATCAGACTTTTTTCCAATCCTTTTTTTTCCTTTTTTTACCAGTGAAATTTAAAATCAAACAATCAAATACGCTTATAAGACAAAGCAGTTCAAACTCCTGAAATATTTGTGGATTTGCCTGTCTCCCATTTAGGGATCAAATCTGTGCCTCCCTCACACCCAGCTGTCTGAGACAGCTCTAACCACTAGGTTAGCTACACAGGTCATTTTTCACACCATACCTCATGCATAACACAATCTATCAGTTGCTGTAACACTAAGTATCAATGTGTAGGAAGCAGAGCGTCAGCGAAGTGTGACAGAGGGTTTGTGGTGAACGTTACTGCTGATGTGTCCTGTCTGCCGAGTGGAGAGTGGAACCCTGCAGTCAGCTGTGTGAGAGTGAGATGTCCGGAGATTGTCACCAAACATCTGACACTGCCCAGCAGTGACTGGGGCAAAGTAGCCATTATCCAGTGTCCCCCCTCCATGCTGCTCATAGTGGGCGGAGCCAAGGTGGCTGAACAAGAAGTTAGGTGGGTTCTGACTGGTAAAAAATAGACCCAAGGTACATAATGTTGTAACAGTATTGTTACAATAATACAATAATTATACATAATACAATAATTGTGTAGATAATACAAAAACAAAATAGGCTAGTCGGAAAACAGGTATTATAAGTTGAGAAAAACTTAGGGATCAAATATTTCTCCCTAAAACTCACTCAACTACTTGAAGAAAAAGAAATGTCTTAGTCCCTAATGATTTATGCATAACTAGCAATCAACAGCAACAAGTCTTTTTAAACATAATTAACTCTTTGAGGTGCAAGCTGCTACCTATTATCCCTAATCTACTGCCTTCAGAATTCACTCCATATCTCCTTCTCAGTAACTTCTTACTTCGTCTTCCCATCCCAACTACTTGGACCCTTAATGTACTATTCTACTCTTGGAGTTGTTTTCTGATAAATCTCTCATTAGAGAGTTATTTTATTTCTTGGAAAGAACTTTTACTAAATATTCTTTATTATAAATGAATACAGCCCAAAAGCTTCATTACTTTCCTCATTATAGTTTTTAATTTACAGTTATTTTTAAATTTTTTGATAACAATTCATCTCTAAGATAAGTTTAATAAAAAGAACAAACATTTGTTTTGTGAACCCCTGAATTTTTATCAGATGGGAATGCAGTGAAGATGGTCTGTGGAAGAATCTAACAAAAGCACCAGTGGATCCTCATATATTAGAATGTGTTGCCAAGATGACGCCCTGTGCCCTACCTGAGGTATTTTTGTTGTGTGTTTTTATACGCCAATGTAAGGGAAAGGTCAATACTCAGGTTATATTAAAACAACTATTCTAACCTAACATTGAATTTTAAAGATAATTCTGTTAACATGTGTAGTTTTAAGCTATGTTTTTGCAACCTAAAGTTGTTTTTAGTTAAATTTTTGAAAGCGAGACTCTAATCAAATATATGCTAGAAATGAATAATGAAACTAGATATGTTTAGAAAATGGTGATACACTGAATATTACTAAAGATGTATGTATACACAATAAAAATTACCAGTGTACTATATTTCGCATATTAGTCCAGGACCTGACTAGGGTTCTGTGTGCATGTCGTGTATAGAGAATTTTGCTTTTGCATTTCAATATAGGTGTCTTAGGAAGTGTTTTCCACTCGGGTGTCAAGTTCGCACCTGGTACGTTTTCGAGCTATGATGTCATAAAGATGGCAGCTCGGCAATTTTTAAATGTGTATATTTCGCAAACCGTTTAACGGATCGGTATGATTCTTTTTTTGTTTGAAAGATATTTTTACAAACTATCTTTTTTGTATTTACACATTTGTTGTAAACTTAATATTCACCGCACAATATTGAAAAACGTCGTTTTTATTGTTATTATATTTATTGTTTTGCTTATAATTTCTTAACCGCTGATAAAATCAAATACCACCCGTGGCAAAAGTTTCAGATAATTCTATACCCTTTCCAATGATACCAAACAATATGTGATTGGACCTAAAAATAAAGCAAAGAGATTGAATAAACCGTAAAAAAACACTGAAAGTGGTGTACGGTCCGGGAAAGATTTAGTCCTGGACATGACTAGGGTTCTGTGTGCATGTCGTGTATAGAGAATTTTGCTTTTGCATTTCAATATAGGTGTCTTAGGAAGTGTTTTCCACTCGGGTGTCAAGTCCGCGCCTGTTTCGTTTTCGAGCTATGACGTCATCAAAATGGCGGCTTGGGCAATTTTTAAATGCGTATATTTCGCATACCGTTTAACGGATCGGGGTGATTATTTTTTTGTTTGAAAGATAATTTTACAGGAAATGTTTTTTGTATTTACACTTTTGTTGTCAACTTAATATTTATCTCACAATATTAAAAAACGTGGTTTTTAATGTCATTGTTTTTTAAATTTACCTCATAACTTGTTAAACGCTTATAGAATGAAATAACTACCCATTACAAAAGTTGTAGATAGTTTTATGCCCTTTCCAATGATACCAAACAATTAATGTTTGAAACTAAAATTAAAGCCAAGAGATTAAATAAACCGTTAACAAACACGTAACATGGTAGAAAGTCCGGAAAATATTGCGGCTGGAACAATTCTTTAAATGCGTATATTTCGCATACTGGTTAAAGAACCGGGATGATTCTTTTTTTGTTTGTAAGATGTTTTTTAAGCCTATCATTTTTGTATTTACACCTTTGTTGTTAACCTACTATTTGTCAAAAAGTTATTAGCAAAAGTAAAATAAAAATAACAATTAAATGTACATTTATTAATATTGTGGGATAAATAGTAGGTTAACAACAAAAGTGTGAAGACAAAAAAGATAGGCTTAAAAAATATCTTACAAACAAAAAAAGAATCATCCCGGTTCGTTAACCAGTATGCGAAATATACGCATTTAAAGAATTGTTCAAGCCGCAATATTTTCCGGACTTTCTACCATGTTACGTGTTAGTTAACGGTTTATTTAATCTCTTGGCTTTAATTTTAGTTTCAAACATTAATTGTTTGGTATCGTTGGAAAGGGCATAAAATTATCTACAACTTTTGTAATGGGTAGTTATTTCATTCTATAAGCGTTTAACAAGTTATGAGGTAAATTTAAAAAACAATGACATTAAAAACCACGTTTTTTAATATTGTGAGATAAATATTAAGTTGACAACAAAAGTGTAAATACAAAAAACATTTCCTGTAAAATTATCTTTCAAACAAAAAAATAATCACCCCGATCCGTTAAGCGGTATGCGAAATATACGCATTTAAAAATTGCCCAAGCCGCCATTTTGATGACGTCATAGCTCGAAAACGAAACAGGCGCGGACTTGACACCCGAGTGGAAAACACTTCCTAAGACACCTATATTGAAATGCAAAAGCAAAATTCTCTATACACGACATGCACACAGAACCCTAGTCAGGTCCTGGACTATATCACGTTACATTATGATCGAATTTCCCATGTTAACAATTTGTTTGTATCACAATTCCAGAGCCCGCAGTTTGGTTACATTGTCCCTGATGATCAGAACACCTCAGAGTTCAATGAGGGACATAAACTTGAGGTACAATGTCGCCAGGGTTACGTGCTACATGGTAGCAACTTGACTGTGTGTAAACGAGACGGCACTTGGACCAATAACACTGTCTGCAGAGGTGATTGCAACCAATAACTTGAGATAAGTTGATAATTATTTAGTTAGGTAGAATCTCTCACCAAAATTGGGATAGGTGACTCCTTAGAATATCTGCTTCTGAACTTACCTTCCTACTAGTGTCCACTTACCCAAGTCTAAAATAAGTTGCTAGTGAAAGTACCGGTATTTCAATTGAAGAAGCAATCGGTTACTGTAAGCTAGTTTATTGTATAGGTTTTGACTGTAAAAGTTTTGCTTCCCACACACTTTATTTTAATACTGAATCATTTTTAAGCCTCTGTGATTATCTTACCTTTTTGTGCTCCAACAACTTAGTTCCACACTTGACTCAATTGAGGGGTTCTATTTGTTATTCTGTTGGTGTATGTCATACAATACAAAGTGTTTAAGTTACAAACAAATTAATTAGTTATACATGAGTAATATTTAGTAGTTGTTATTGGTTATATTTCCGCTTCTTAACAGTGAGTACACATTCACCAAACTAGATCTCCATCTAACTAAATCCATCCTTACAAGTTTTTCCTGCGTTTGAGCTTAAATATAGTCTTAACATATTGCCTAATAGAGTATGAAATGAATAGACTTTATATAATTACCAGCCTGATAAACCACTATAAAATAATTTAGCTCATTAATTTATGTTTGAATGTCTACAGCTGTTGACTGTGGAGATCCGCCTGTGCCTCCTCTCACACAGCTGACTCTAGTGTCCAGCACTCTCTACGGCAGCCTAGCCAAGCTGCAGTGTGACCCGGGCTACCAGGCTTATGGCGAGATGTCCCTGCGCTGCCAGACCAACAAGCGGTGGTCTCGCTTCCGAGGCAGATGTGTTCGTAAGTGCTTATGAGTAGAAGTAACCATTGCTACATGAATGCATGATGTTGATTTTACTGTTAATCTCTTTGAAATGAACTTAATTGACTTTCACCTTTGTGTGTAGATAAAAACCAGACATTCCTATTTCGAGTTGTAGTCAATCTATTCCAACCATCTATTCCATTTTTATGTTGATACAATATAGAGAAATGTTGAGTGTTAGTAGAAGAGTAATATCAACTTTAAACAATTTTCAGGTATTTCATGCGGAAAACCTTTGTTACAAGATGGTGTCAATGTGATAGGAAATGCTTACTTGTATCAAGAAAAGCTTCAAATAGTCTGTCCAACTGGTAAGTCAACTTGAATTAAATTTTCAAACCTTGATTAATAGTTGTTTTTGCAACTAGTAAGCAAAGTGAACAATTGACTCACTCGAGAGAAATACTTACTCACGAGCCGTAGGAGAGCAATTGCCTTGAGTGGGGCAATTGCTCTTTGCACTCGAGTTGCTCATTATATTTTTCCTACAGTTACTATAAAACAAATAAATTGGTAAAGAAACGTAACATATTTTTACACAGAAGTGAACCTTTAATATGACATTTAATTATACAACAGTACAACAGCTAACCAGCTGATTTACAGCCAGTGCTGCCAACATATTTCACGTGCATACAACCTTGTCTGCATGTTATTCGCTCACTATTTCGTGCCTTCACGTTGCAAATCTGGAGTGAGACAAAGTAATTAGAGTGAGACAATGTTAACATTGTCTCACTGATGAGCAAATTGGCCACTTTGCTTTCTCAAATCATTGAGAGAACATGTACATTGTTAGGTAACTGTAGGAAAAATATTTAACGTGGAGTTTAATGCCGCGGTTAATTTTTACCATAGGAAAATAAGATTTCAATTATTTAATTTTTTTAAACTAGCTACAGCTGCTACATATAAATGTGATTTTTACTCAGGAATATCATAAGTCAATAGTACATCAACCATGGATATAGTGTTACATATTGAATGTGTTTGAAGAAATCGTAAAACATAATAAACACATGGCTGTTACAGGTTCAGTTATTTCTGGAGATGAGTACATAACATGTGAAAAAGATGGAAAGTGGAGCAGGTCACCTGAATGTATCAAGATTTAAAAAACTGAAAACAAGAACGTTGAAAGTTGTTAGAAATAAAACATTTTATGTAACGTTTGGACATGTCAGTACCCTTGTTTAGCCAAAAATGTATTTAATGGTTGGTAGTCATGTATTTTATCCAATAAATTAATTTCAATTCAATCAATTCACAAATTTTAATTATTATATGCTTGGTTAAAACTATTTAGCACTTTTTTTATACTTAGAAAGTTGTAGTTCCATCCTCAGAAATGAAGCTTTTTGATGTTTTGGAAAACCAATACTGTCATCATTCATTGGGCACTCACTCCATTTCTACACTCATTTTTTTACTCATATTGTGGTTAAAATATGCACCTAGGTGGTGTCCCCATCTCAATAATTAATTAATAATTGAATCTGTGTCCTTAAATTTTACAGCATGAGTATACTATACAACATTGCAAAAGTAAGCTTAGTGCTTAGTGACCCAGGAAAATCACTTAAAGAATGGTTTAAAATACCTGTCCATCGGTGTTCCAACTGTCGTCTAAATGGAGTCATGACCTCGCATCTACCTGTGCTCTGTCGTACTGTCCTGTGGGATACTGTCCAGTTGTATACACAGTAATATCATTTGGTTCTCTCATGTTGTATGTTTTATGCTACGGTTTGTGTTTAATGACGACCTCAACTTGAAAGATGAGCCATTCGAATAAGCCTAATGATGAGATTTTTATCTTGAAACTGGTTGCCAATGAGACGACAGTTGGAGTACTAAATGGCAGGTAAATTACACCAAATAATCCAATCAAGCAGCTGTAAAATATTTCTTTCTTTTAGTTACTTTGAATTAAATACATAAAACATAAAAATCCCAATTACCTATAGGTTTGCTCTATCAAATTTATTAACCATTCAACTACATGTTGCCATCAATAAGTAATAATGATGGACAGTCTTAGGAGACTGCTGACCATCTAATAATTAAAATACTATTAATAATTAAATTCTAATAATTAAAATCTAACTGCAGATTCTTTGAATGAGGTAAGGGAAAACAACTCTTGGAACCATGTCAACGGATAGACACATGCCTCATTAGGGGCTCATAGACTGGATGCTGCAGTTCAATAAGTAACTCAAGTTTGACATCAGGCACCGAAGGGGAATACTTAGAAAGTTACATAGTAACTAAGTCCACCCTGATTCAATCAATCAATTGATTCATTCAAGTTTATCAAACATCTCAAAATCATACAATGACTAGACAAGCTGTTACTATAAAAAGTACCAAAAGCAGACCAAATATAAAATACGCAATCCACTTCTTGTTTTTCCAGCTGTGGGATATCACAGGTCGATCTAGGAACTGTTGAATCCAAGGTAGGTCCTGGAAGACGTCTTCGTACAGGACTATTCCTGTTCTGTCCATACATGATGTGACTGTACCCTGAGATAAAACTCCATACAATACATTCCCACAAATCAATGGTCCACCCGAATCCCCTCGACATGGGGAGCCATCCGAGAATAAAACCGTGAAAAATGTTTTAACTCTACCTAGAAAACTTGTTGATAAATCCACAGGGATGAGTTTCAAGACATGTGAACCTCCATAACCTGCTGAGAAGCAAGTCTGGTTTGTCGTTAAATGTTTCGCTGGTAGTTTTGGGAACTCTGGTCGTCCTATGGATGTGTGGGTGAGTATTGCCAAGTCGCAACCATCGCTGAAGTTAGGGTGGACGAACACTTCATTGACTCTCCTCACAGAACCCGTCAAAAGCTTGATCCTAACTTCAGTAGGTTCGTACAAGGATTTGTTGCGGAAACAGTGAGCTGCTGTTAAAACTGTGTCCTCTCTGATCAAGGTACCAGTACAAGTGGACTCTACGTAGTAACCAGGCTGGAAACGTAATTCTTGAATGGAAATTATTAATACTACAAATATTGCATCGTGTAGTGTTGTATTAAACATATTTACATGAAGGATTTGTTTACAAGGAATTTTTATTACATTGTTTTCAGATACGATTGCTATAACAACAATAAGAATATTTCACTTGAACAATTGATAAATTTTGTACTGATAGTTTGGTTTATGAAATAGCAGTTAGGTTCAAACCATTGCAATGGTGTACCCCCAACAATGGTGCAATGGTGTAACTCATGGTGTATTCTTCTAATTTGCCCATTGCTACAGCCTTTTGATGGTTTAGACCTCTGCCACAATCCCCCCTTTCCCCAATCTTCATCTGTGACGGAATTTTCAACATTTTTTACTGGTGTACTACTTAGTTAGTAAAAAAGATGTCACATACCCCTTTAGTTCAATTGATAAAATATGTTTGATGGACGGTTCTGTTGATTTACTATACAACCATGTTTTTTCAGGATGTTTTTTTTTTATTGAATGAACAAAGTGATTACTCATACTTGTACTTGATACATCTCATATTTGAACAATTACTCAAGGATGACTTGATTTATCAACTTGATGTATGGTTCCAAGATTCTTTATCATAATATCACGAGTAAGTTAGTTTTTGGAGAATATTTGTTCATTCTTAAAACATCTTTTTAATTTTGGGCCAGAATAAAAACATTAGGAGCTACCTTCTTTTATTTGTTTACTTTGTATGATCTATAATTTGATCTTACTTGAGACAAAGGGGCCGACTTTGTGTCGCTGAACTCTTTTATTCATTGAGTCATTTTATGCATAAGAAAACTTACATTGTAATCTAACATTTCCAGAAATCTATATTGAAACGTTGAGCTGGCAGGAGTAAAGAAATTGACTGATATTCAATACATAAGATAACATTAAATAAGTTTAAGTTATGTTAAAATTAAAATACCCCTGCCGCAATAAACCTGCAGACTAAGCGAATTTCCATTCGCCTAAATTGATTTTAAATTAAATCTAATTAAATAACATTTAGGTTTAACGAGTACCTAAGTTTGCTGCTACAGGGAGGCTAATTAGTGTGTTTTTTAGTAAAATATTCGTAGCTTATAAAATAAATAAATTTTGCAAGTTTGATCAAAATATTTCCATAAACAAGCATAACTACAACATTTTAAAATATTTTCCATTAGAATATCTTGGGAAATTAAATTTGCAATTCTAAGAATTTTCTCCATACAGTAACCAATCACCGTACGAAAACACTTTGATATACTAAATTATTTGTTTTTTAAAGCTCTTTAAAAAGGTCTGGAGAAAAATTTAGAAATGTTGTGTTTTGAGGGTCAAAAATGAGAAAACCAATTTTTACCCCATAAAACCCTGTTCCCATGATCTGATCATGCTGGTTTGCGAACTCATTCAAGTTTATCCCGCCTTACACCTTCAAACCAAATTTCATCAAAATCTGACAAAAATTACTCAAGTTATCGTTCACGGACGATATACAAATACGGATACATAAAAACACACACGGATAAATAAAACTTTGATTGAATTGGGCTTCTAGGGTCATCAAAATGAAATGTAAACGTTGGTTTTTGGTACGGTACTGGTTCTTTTCCTTTTAACCATTGGTAGCAGCAAGAATCATTTTTACGTACCAAAACATCACAGTAATTTACAAATTAGTTATCGTTGGTGTTGCACCTTATTTATTACAGGCGTATTCAATTTAATTGATGTCTTAGCTGTATAAGTTTTGCTTTTTCTGTCTGGATTCCAAAATGTTAGTTTATGCTAAGAAAACGATAACGCATTTTAGTAAATCATTTATCCAGCAAACCATAAGAATTGTTCAAACGCTTTGAACGTTGTTTATGTATCAATAGTTCGTGGCCTATTTTGGTAATTTTTATTATAAATAACCAATCTAAATCGTCAATAGTAATAGTACTGTACTTCATTTCATATAGCAAACCGATTCAGATAGCGTTTCGAGAGAATTTCGGGTCATCTCCGGTCCAAGCAAATATAAATTGTTATGATAAAGTTTTATGACATTAACAAAAATTTAAATACTTATTTTATATGTACTTTGTTATGCTTGTTAAAGCGTAGCAAATTCCCTAATTAAGTTCTGTATTTTTTTGTGTATGTCTGTTGGTAACGCATTAATGTCCTTATTTCTCAGTGTTTCACGGAAACGACAAGAGCACCTTGATAATGAAAATGTCAACCCGAATAAAGTGTTAAATTATGAGGTTGAGGTAGTACCTTAAATACTTTTAACCATTATGTTATAGTCCTTTAAATTCTGAACAAAATTGTACAAATCCCTTTTCCGTATATTTACTCTCACCACTTACACATGATAACGGTTGTTGACAAACTTATGGGAGAAAGTATGTGTCAGAATGCTGATACCGTTTATTTAGTTTAATCATTGGATTTAACATATGGACCAACAAGATCCGGGTGACATTTAATTGCGAAGCATTCGTTTTGGCTGGAAACTGTCAGATACTGTATTTGCGAAGGAATAGTTTTGTCAGCATACCGTATCTGAAAGTATGCAAACCAACTGCTGTGCTTTATATAAGAAGGTTTTAACTGACTATGATAAGATCCCCGTGCGTAGAACGGGCACACAGCTAGTTATTTAAACATAGCTAATTTGAACTAAGCAGCAACAAAAAACTGTTATACGCAATGAGAACTGTCAAAGTAGGATTGTTTATAGTTTTTTTACAGTTTGTTCTTTTATTTCATTAATAATTTTTGATATTTTACAAAATTTTAATAATCTATCTTTCTCCATTGTGTAGGTGAAGTGGTAGAACATAATGGCTATGGTAGATGTGTAATACTTTTGTAATTCTATAGCATACCGTAAATTTTAGGAAGATAATTTTCTCAAACCGTGTCTTCTCACATTGCAAACGCAAAGATCGAGTATAACTGCAATAAGCATTTTATACTTATATGCCAACCCCGTACTAAGGACGGGTACTCTGCTAGTATATATATATATTTAGTTTAAATTTAAAATTAAAAAAATAAAAACTCAAAATTCAAAATCCAAAAGAATTAAAACTCAAACAAAAATTTGAATGCAAATAAATTTAAAAGTCCAAATCAATGAATTCACTGATTGAAATGTCCATGTTCAAGTCCACGTCCGTAACTCCAAATCCCAAAATCCAAAATCCTTAATTTCCATATCCCAAAACCCAAAATTTCTAAATCCCAGATAAAAAAAAAAAAAACACCGAAAAACTAAGATCCATATAAAAATCCCAAAACCAAGATCCCAAATCCGAAATGCAAAAAAAATATTATTTAAAACTCAGAATTCAAAATTCAACATTCATCTCTAATTCTGAACTTAGCATTATTAAATTATAAATTATTAGTTTTTGGGCACTGGCTTTGGATTTTGGATATTGGGTATTTTGGGATTTTGCGATTTGTATAAAGTACAATATCATATGAAATCTATTCTCACTATTACTTATTTTATTTATATCTGTTTTAAAAACTATGATGAATTTTCAAATCTATTTACACCAGAATTGGGGCAACGTCAGATCATTTCTCGCAATAGCGGCTGCATTCGTGAGCATTACTTTTTGTGGGCTCGATGACACCAAGATCGTCTCTTGTGTTCGCGGCAACATCCATGATTATCTTCCGCCATCACGACTACAATTTAATCATCTCCCCCGATCACAGTAAAACCTGTGATATCCCGCAATCACGATTTTCCTACAACTATAATATTATGTAAACAGAGTATTAATAAAACTCACATGAGATTAGACTTGCAGATATTAAAAATTTTCCTAATTTCATACAAGATCCATATAATATTTCTGATATTGCCGGTTTACCGATCATCTGGACACCCTAAAATAACTTTGTGGGTCTGGGCCCACCCCCTAGAACCGCTTCTGGCCTTGTGAAACATTGACTTAATTACCAATAGACAAAATTAAAAAATACCCAACATTGCCATTCACAGAATCATAAATTATAGTTGTTCCTTTTTATAGCCTGGTTTGATTGTTTTAACTTGGAACAGTAGGACAGTTTAGATAAGAAAGGACAATTTAGAATGATAGGATGAGTGATATGTGTACTCTGTCAATCACTGGTATAAACACCAGTAGCTATCAGTTGCAATCAGTAGACCCTAGACACTTAGACTGTGGGAGACCTGACTTGACAAGGACCTGACTTCTTACCATGTAAGTTTGACGAAAAAACTTTAGATACAATTTTTTACCCACATAAAAACATACTTTATCTTATTCTCAATAAATATCTTTGAATGGCATAATAATGGATCCAAACGATTTGAAAATTTAACTATATGAAGTAATTTTATTATTTTTATTTTTAAGTAAAAGCTTATCAGTTTAATTGTAAAAATTGATTTTTAAATGACGTTCCAATACAGTTTGTAAATACATTTATAGATACAATGTCAAGTAATAATTAAACAAAAATAACTTTTAAGGTGTTAAAAAAAATTAGAGTTGGAAATTAGCTTTATTTGGTTAGGCTACCTATGATTAATCCGTGTAAGAACAAAGTTTCTAAAATAAACTTCAAACAAATAATCATGATTACTATACATTTATACTATTAAATAGTTTATTAAGAAGAATACAACATTATCATAGAGGGTTCAAACCAGCAAAGTCGAGTTAAATGGGTGAAACAAGATACAAAATGTTATAAGAATGTGTTTTAACACAGTATAGCCCAAATAATGACAATCATCTAAATTTTTTCTTCTAAAATTTTTATAGAAAACAATAATTTACTCAAATTTCCCAAGCATCAAATTATATAAATTTACAAACAAGCTATAGAAGTGATCCTCAGCATCACATTCGTTCACTTAATAACAATAATTGACAGTAATTTTGATTGTAGCATAGCTAATTTATATCAGTTTCAGATACAATAAACAACTTGCCAAATATCTTTTGAATAAGTACGCTATATGATAATATTATTTCTAACCTGCATTCTGACACAGCAAGTGCCTCCAAGATTTGCAAGATTTCAACATGTGTAGCTTGTGATAATGTGAATTTAATTACCAACTAATAGC